TGTCTAAGCAAAAAAAGATTATTTTTGCTCATTTGATTGTGATTCAGGATAGAAGAATCTCTACAGACTTAGGAAAACTGTTACACAGCAGTTTGGTAACACAAACCTGTAGTCTCCCCTTAAGTTTTGTGAAGCCAAACAATCTGACCTTTGTGGGTTTCAGGACTCAAATATTCAGGAGAAAGTAGAAGAGAGTAACTGAAAAATGGCTAGGAGTGACCTCGGGTGCTCTCCTCATGCATCTTCGTTGTCTGCAGGTATGTGTTGTGTCCAGGGACAAAGTTACTCTCCCTGGTCAGTCCCAGCTGCTCTCTCTCCCTCTCTCTCTCCCTCACTATATGCCTTCATTTCTGTAGTCACACCTTAAGCCAGTCCTGGCAAAATGACCCAGGTTATGGAAAAACTTCCATTATACAAGCCATTAAGAGAACTCTGGCATCTTGACTGCACTAGACCCGGGGGCAATTAGAGCAGTGGCAGGGTGGGTAGGAGGAGGCGTTCCTGGCTTGGCCTCAGCCAGCGCAGGATGTGTTTGTCATCCTGGCTGTGCAGCTACTCTGGTAGGCAAGCGCCTCACCAGGCAGTACAAGAGGAAAACACATCAGTTGTTTTGTTCACAGGCAAAAAGCAAACCCTGAATTTAGAGTTTCATGTACCCTCTCAGATCCTTCTGGAACAGTATGCAATGATGCGCAGACCTCTGAGATCCTATGTGTGGAGTTTGCTTGCAATTTAACTCTGTACCAGACTGAGTTAACTGTAGCTGCTCAGGGTGAGCTAAATGCATGAATCTTGTGGGGACATCAGTCAGGAGAGGGATTTTTGGAGCAGCATGCTGGCTGCTGTCTTAGGAGGCAGTGTGAACATGTGGCTGGAGAAGCTTGCCAGAACTGCAGTACCCTGAATTGCAGCAGTCTTACCTTTTTAGCAGGATCTAAACTTTTTTCCCTGCCCCCATACATGCAAGCAAAAGGTATAATCTTTTTGTTGCTCAGATCTGAAGGTTACGTCAGCAAAACAGCATCAGGATTTCCCTGTGTTGTGTGCAGTAGTTGGGAGAGCATGAGAGAACTCTGCACCTTCAGCCACGGGTGAGTGTGCTGGAGCTTACACAGGGTGGGATCCTGGAGTAAGAGGAGTGGTTGTTAAGTGTAGCAGCGTGGGTTTGTTCTGCCGAGTCGCTGCTTGAGCAGAGAACAAAGGTAGGTGGTGTCATGAATTCCTCACACCCTCTGAGCTGAGGCAGGACTTAGGTGCTAAGGTACTCCTAGTCTCAGGATCTCAGTGGGCTGTTTTATCTAGAGGGAGAGCTGCTGACGGGTGGGTTGGATAGAGGATGTTACTTGATAAAAGAAGACAGAAATAAAGGTTGTTCTGGTGTGTAACTAGACTCTTCGTTCCCCTGGAAATTCAATTATCAAGCATAACATTTCTGTGGGGAAAAGGTAACAAAGACCTTGGCTGGCTTAGAGGCAAGGCAGAGTAGTCTACCAGGTTTTGATGGTTGTATCTGTTTCTTATGGAAACCATCTAGGGATGATTATGACAGATACAGCCAGTGTGCAGCTCTGCATCTCTGTGGTCCTATTCTTAAGTAATGCTGATTCTGCCCAGCTCTGGCTGTGGCCTTCACTGCAGATCTCTAAGAACTCTTTAGTTTTGTTCTCACCAAACAATTTAAAAACCTGAGGCAATGCAGAGGTGGCGCATTTCTGTTGCAGATGTATGTGGCACCCGCCTGTGTCAGCAGCCAGCCATCACTCTCCTGCAGCCAGGCTGCTGCAGTCATGTCCCTGGCTCCCTTCCCTGCTTCCTTGCCTTGCTGACGCTCCTAATTTAATTTTGCAAGGTTTGCAGAGGGCTAAATTTGGGCCCAGGAGTGTTATTTTTAGTCTTGAAAAGAGGCTAACGTACAAAAAAAGATTTTGCGCACAGTTTAATGAACCATTTTTGGATTTTGAGGGGGAGAGGAGGATGGCAGTAAGATGGAAGGGCTTTTCATGTCATCTCTTTAGTGATAGAAAGAGCAAGGGGTCCATCTATGATATTGACATCATCTCAGAGCTCCACGTGCGTTGTCCCATACCATTCTTTCCCCTTGATCTCTTTCCAAAACTCCTCTTTTTTTAGACACCCACTCTTCTTCCCTCCTGCCAGCCTCCATCCTTCAGTGCTGCCACAGATATCTTTTCCTGTGCCTGTTTCCTGCATTTTCAGCCCTACACAGATTGTATTTCCCCAAACCAATTTTAAGGAGCCATTGATGGAGGTGGATTTCAGGAAAATGCCTACCATTCATTTCTTGGTTTCTGCCAGGATGGGTTTCAAGTGTTCATGTTCCAACTAGAGGCTCATTCAAGGTCTAAAGCTGAACAGAGAGTGCAAAGACCAACACCACAGAGAAGTGTTTGTCCTTTGCTTTCTGACCATGTCTGTCTCACTCTCTTGGGAAGGATACTGTTATCCAGATCTGATGTGCTTGCACCAACTTTGAAATCATCATGGACGCAGGTAGCCTTTGTTATCTGAGATAGGTCATGTGGCTGAGGTCAGTTATGGGATGGTGAAAATCAGTTTAGTCCTCAAGTCTGTAGCAAAAAATAAAAGAAAGAAAAATAAAAGGGATGGGGAGACAAGAAGGCTGACCTTGAAGTGCTGTGCTTCCAGGAAGCCATCGGTTTGCTGCCCTGTGTTGAGGTGAGTTCAGGTTTGGATCACTGACCCTTTCCTCTCACCCTCAGGACTCCACATTTCAGGGAGTGTGCATGAGCAGATGGATTTTATCAGACTTAGAAGAACCTAAGTTCTTAAACTGAAAAGGCTTTCAACCTTGCCTTTAGAGAATGTTGTTGACGTGGAGGTCCTTGTCTTTCATGCTGCTTGCCTGTTCCCCCTGTCTATCCCCCACCTGCAGTACAGTGTTCAAAACCCACCTGAGCACTGCCCACCTCTGCCATCGTGGCAGATGTTTGTCAAACTGAGTGTGTTCTATGTATCTTACCTCATATTTGTTTTGGCTTAAGATATAATCCAGTCCCCCAAATGTTTACTGCTGGACATACTCCCGCTGACATCTGCAGGAGAGCAGCGAGTCCAGCTGTTGACCGAAGTGATCCTCACAGCAGCTGCTGCCCGTGTGGGGTACGGACCTTCGCAAAGAAGCTGTGATCGTGTTCTGAATGCAGAGTGTATTTTCACTAATGTCCTTCCAAGATAAAAAGCCAAAAAGATGACCACCACTTACAGGCTAATTAGCCAGAAGCCTCCATCTCATTTATCACAATCCAGATGTTATCCTGCTAATTTCAAGGCAGTTACTCAAGCACAAAATTAGACACACAGGAGTTGAGAGTGGATCTACATCACATACTTTTGTCAGGGAGGCCCTCAGTCAGGGCTTTGATGGGCTGTGTGATCTTTGGCCAACACAGCTGTGCTGACAAGAAGTCCTCAGCATCGACTTCTGCTCATTATACCATCAAAACCTTGTTTTTACTGGTATTGCTGATGTGGGGGAGGAGAAGCTTCCCTGCAAATTGCTGCCAGAGTGAGCTCTGTCAATGGTGACCTCTCCTTAGTCATCCTGTGGACCCCAGTACAACTGCTCTGGCAGCCTCCCTGGTAAAGCTGACCTAAGTGGGTGCGCTTGTGAGGTTCCTGTTAGGAAGCTGGGACTGCACCTGCTTTTATTATTAATTTTTTCCAAAAGTCTTTTGAATGCATTTTTAAAAATGTACATCTTGTTCTCAAGAAGGCTTTGATCTTGTTAATCTTTTCATCTATGCATCAATCTGTTGTGTGAAAATGCTGGAACGTGCTATTATTGTGGCGGGCTTTCCTAGGATTTTGTTTCCATTTTTTTTTTTGCATAGTTGAGGGAATTTTTATTTCCAGAGGCTCTTCTTCTGGCTTGATCCTACATGAAAATTGACCACAGACGTGTCAGGTTCTAGAATGCCACTTTAGGCTATGCCTTTGAATTTTCTTTGCAGGGATTTCCTGATATCAAATTGAAACAATGCTTTCTGTTGCCTTGCATAATGTTAAAGAGATTGAGAGTGAACCTGCACATTCAGTTGCGAGCAGCAGTGAGCTCTCGTTGTGTATCTTCACGGGACACATGCCAACTTTGAACTCCAAGTTTTGTGGTTTCTGTAGCATGAGGAGAAGTCTAAAGTAACTTACCTGCTGTGTTTGTGGTCATTTGGCCAGTCTGAGGCATGAAGAATATCATTAAATCCATCTGCATTTGGGCCACATAGACTTAGCCTTAATCTTGATCACTTATATTTGCTTTTCTCTCCTAGTTCTTACCATAGGCTTAGACCTCAGGTTATGCTTTCATAGTTACGGCCATACTTTCCTAAAATATCCATCTGTTCATGAAAGCAGCTGTTCTTGTGAAAACCCTTGCGTAAATGCAATCAATTGTGTGAGAAGTCATGACCCGTGGCATAACCTGGATCCAAAGGAAAGTGGAGAAGGGGTCATTTGGCAGCCAAAAAAAAAAACCAAAACCAAAACTGTACCTCTTATACATGCATATCAAAACAGAACCTTTCCCAACTGATCCAAGTCAGGACTTTCACAATTTTCAGACCCTCACTGAAGACAGTGGTGTGACAAGGTGTCCTTTTCAACTTTCCTCAGTGTAAACTAGAAATTGTTCTGCTGAACAGTTGATAGCATTGTGGTAATAGTTGATCACTTCAACTGGGAAAGGAACTGGTTCCTTTGGCTTTGTATGTAACTGTGAGAGAATTCAAGTTGTGAATTGTGGGTAGGAGAAGGTTGGAGCATGAAAGGACACCTGGGAAGTATGCTGTCAAAGCACAGAGCCTGGTGTTAACCCCTGAAGAGGCTCAAACACTAGGCAGTACCTCAAGATCTTTGAATAATTTTTTTGTCCTCGATATTGTTGGCCCCTTGCAGGTAAATTTAAACTTCTTGGTTTATGAAAACCTAATGGATTTCTCTTTGTACTTGTGTCATTTGCCTAGGTCCTGAGAGAGACTAATAAATTGGCTGAAATGGAAGAGCCACCTTTGCTACCAGGGGAAACCATTAAAGACATGGGTATGTAAAGAGGAAATTCCTTATTGTTTACTGACCAAATAGAATATCCATAGAGCAAAATATCTTGGCAGTCACTGACCAACGAGAGCAAATTGCTGATGTTTTGAAAGCCATGATCAGGATGTTTCATTAGTTGAGGGGACCAAGGTAACTACGTGTCTCCTTTTAGCAGGTAGCAAATACAAAGCAATTCAAGGCACCTTAGAGTGACTGATGAGGTTGTACAGCCTTGCATTTCCTGCCTCCTGAGAGGACATGGATCGACTGTTTCAAGTTGTCCTTGCCACAGGGTAACTTCTTATGCTGACACAGCACAACTGTGTGTCAAATCTCTGTCATGGACTCCAGGAAAGGATACAGTGCTTTTGCAGGGAACTTGCTGTGATATGGGGATGGGGTTTTGTTTGTTTGTTTGTTTGTCTGTTTGTTTTATCCAGATGTTCTGACATGCATCAGGTTTGCCGATGCTCTCCAGTTTGAAAGCTTGAGTAAGCCTCTTGATTAATTTTCTGTGAAAGATTTTTCATTCACTTCTTTACCATGTTGCCTTCCTCTTAAAATGATATAAAAGAGTGCAACTTTAATCCTAAACATAAAAAATAAAAAAAAATGGAAATACCTCACCAAAAAAACACCCAAACAAACAAACCAAAAAATCCACCTCAGTGTTTAGTCTTTTTTCTACCTCTTTCCTAAGGACTTTGAACTTGTACTCCGACCAAACACTGCAGACTGACATCTAACTCGCACCACAGACACAGTTAGCTCTGACAGCAAGAATATATTTTGAAGGGTTTCTAGGGAATGGTTTAAGAGATAAGAGTGTCCAGTGTTTTATCTGTTGCCAAATGATGAGATGAGCCATATAAATCTGTAAGACTGGGTGGCTTTTGGAGTAGTCCAGACAGCAGCTGCCTGGTCCAGCAAGAAGTTTAAGGCAGCAAAAAGGAAGTATTTGTTATTCACCAGCAATAATTATTTCCTGTTAAAAGTGTCAGGAAAGGCAAAATTTTATAGGGATGGGAAGAAAAAAATATTTTCAGCTAACCTAATAATCTAGGGTAAGATTGACCTGTAAAAGACAGGGATTCCACAAGCAAGCGAATGAGTAAATCTGGTTTTCAGTTTCTTTCTCCCATAGATATTCTCTTATATATACCAAAGACTGAGCTTGTTAGACTTTCCCTTGGTGACAGCACTACTACAACCTCTCCATTATAGCTGGAGTCCATTCTCACAAACAATGAAGCATTTTAATGCCTTGGAGATCCCTATTTATCAGGTAGAGACTGCTGAAATCATACAGCTCTGAAGGGGTTAAGGTCAGACAAGCCATGTGTGTAGGTACACGTGTACATGCATAGTGTAATTAAGTAAAATTGTTTCCTTAGGAAACCAAGCTAATAAAATGCAAATGTGAAAGATGATGTGGCTTACAAGCTGGCAAGGCCAGTGTTTGAGATCATGCCTGGGGTTCCTTACCTGCAAAACATTTTTCTGGCACCTTTTCTGTTTACCCAGAAATCCTGTTCTTTTTCAGATGTAAATGCACGCTTTTCTTATTAGTAGATTTTGTTGGGGTTTTTTTAACATTTTGAAATTACAGTTTGAATAATGGGAACTCTAGTAGAAAAACCAGGCAGGCTGCCCTCACCCCTATTATGCTTCACAAGTCTGCTTTCAAATCTCTATCAAACGAGTCTTTGAAAAGAAGTGATTAATAATCAGCTACTAATGAAACACTTGGTTTAATTAGGACTGGCTAGAAGCATTTTGTGTTTAATTGTCCTTCAAACAAATGCATGTAAATTTATATAAATAAATAAATAGTGGAATTACTAGCATGTATATATATTATTTCTTTTTAACCAGATACTGTGTACTACATATTTTGCTCTGAATTAGCCACTTCTGATATTTTAAGGATCCTTCTCCACATCCAGATCTTGAGAGTCATTGAAGACTATGCTGAAGCAGAGCTGATGTGAGGATGATTTAGTTATATGAGTTGCCAGAGCCCTGGAATAAGGCAGTCTCCTTCTTTCTCTTCCGCCAGGCTAACTCTCATGAGATAAATGTAGAAGAAATTAAGGTCCTCATCCTGATGCCTCAGTAGCCTCACACCTCATGTGTATGGTGGGTGTCACCTGGAGGGGAGGCGAGCTGTCCTCCTGACACAGCTTTGCACAGTGGGTCCCATGGGGTGCAGAGGCTTGAGATTATTAAGATGATCCAGGGAGTTCTTTCATGGATCTGGCAGCCCTGGTCAGTGGATCTCATCTCTGTGTTTTTGAGGGATGTCACTACTTCTTGGTGACAGCGTAAACCATTGCCACAGCACAGGCAGCCAACTGCTTTAGCAGCAGAAGACGTGATAGGCAGCAGAGGTGGGGAGGGAACAACTTAAATCTTGGCATTTTTAATTGATGTAAACCAGAAAGGCAGTTAGGAGGGGTGTTTGCTGTGAAAAACCAGCCTTTTGCTGAAACAAGTGAGAAACATTTGAGGCCTTTTAAGAAGGGGACTGTTTTGAGTCACTATCACTCAGCCTCAAAAATAATTGAATTGTTGCAGAGTAACTTGATCGCTGACTTCAGACCTAAAATCACCAGCAGTTGGGTGTTATACAGATTCATGGCTGCTGCAAATCACTGTAGCTCCGCTGGCTTTTGGCAGGAGGGCCTTCATCCCAGGGCTGACTCTGCGTGCAAAGGTTGTGCAGAAGGACCCAAGCGCCCTAAAAAACACATGTAGGAGAACTGCCTTCTCCTGTCCTAGGTGGCACAAACCATCCTGGGGACAATCCTTAGCTTTTATGCAGACTGTTGTAAGCTTCAGAGGCATGCATCCAGGCAGAAGTCGTCTCCTCTTTTCATGCATGGTGTTCTCAGCTACTGACAGTAAGAGTTAACAGTTTGAAGCCAAGCACTGGGTGTTTTACGGGGTAGCAGTTTTCTGCAAATGTAGGATTTCTGGTGATGATACTACTTCTGCTCAAACTCTTACCTTCTCCACGGAACCTAAACTTGTACATTAGCTCTAGGCTCTAGGCTAGAATCCCAGATGAAGCTTGTTTTAATGTCATGATCTGAAAAGTAAAATCCCCTAATATGGTTGCTGTCATAATTTCTCTCCCATAAGTTAAATCATGAGATCAACAACTTTTTTTTTTTTCTTTTTTTAAGCTAAGGATGTTACTTACATCTGCCCCTTCACTGGAGCAATCAGAGGAACCCTTACTGTTACCAATTATAGACTGTATTTTAAAAGCATGGAACGGGTAAGCTTTTGAAATAATCTACTTTTGTTAGCTATTTAATCTTCAGACCTAGGTGTTCTGTGAGAGTAATTCTGTGTGAAATGTAGCTGTATGTTTAAAAATATAGACATAAGGGAGTAGGAGCTGGGGATTTTTCCCCCTCCTCTTTTTAAACTCACAAATTTCAACTGTCTACAGGACCCTCCTTTTGTCCTAGATGCATCTTTAGGTGTAATCAACAGAGTGGAGAAAATTGGAGGTGCTTCCAGTCGTGGTGAGAATTCCTACGGGCTGGAGATTGTATGCAAGGTAAACTCTTACCTGTGTTTTACAGTAGGAGAAGGGGAATGTATATTTTAACAGATTTTCTCTGTAGTATTGTAGGAAGTTCTGCAAAATGTTTCAGTCAGTATGACTTCACAGGCATCAAAAACCGTCTGATTTTAAAGGTATTTTTCAGTATCTCCAGTTCCAGTCATTCGAGACAAGATACAAACCCCTTTATTTAGGCTTTGTGCTGGGCAGTGACTTTTCTTCCTAGGGGAAACTTAGGCCTGCATCCTATTAATGCAGTTCCCAGGGTTGCCCATCATACTATTCCAGGTAGACAGCAGTTATTGTGGAATACAGCACGTACACCTTTCTCTCATTTGCATTTCAAGAGCAAGAAAGGAGCACGTGTCCCCCTAAATCATTAGCTCATGTGCACCTGCTGCTGTGCTTTGTGGTGAGGGACTGGCAAGTAGCCTTCAGTCCTCCTCGAGGCTGTTCTTTCATTTCTTTCAAGGCAGTACATATTTCACATATGCCTCGCAAGAGCCCTTGGAATGACTGATAATATGAACTTCAATAAAAATTAACAATTTGCCTTCTTGTGTCTGCTTGCTATATACCCACGAAGCAGATAAAGCCCCTATCTTCCCTTCTAAATCCATACCACTGCTGTTTATTGGGTCATGGCCCCTCTGCCTGCCTCACTGGCCACATAGGAAGAGCTGGATTCAGAACCTTGAGGGTCTTGGTCTGCTTAAAGCTGTTGTCAGAGCCCTTGAAGGCTAAGAGGATGCCACTTGTTGCTTAAGAGCAGAATGAAAAGGGGTCCCAAACTACTCTGGTCACTGCTGTGACTTGGAGGCACCAAAGCTAAGCAGACTACCAGGCTGTGGGTGCGCTGAGTCAAGACCAGCTGATGCAGTCGGCACCAAATCATCCAGCTGCTCCCTTGTCCTATTGCAGTCCTAATCCACCCTGGCTAGCGTAGAGATGGGGTGCTTGTGCCGGCAAGCTAATTTGTTCCCTGTTTTGATCTGGATTCCTAGTCCTCAGCCATTTTGTTTATATGCAAATTTGTACACATGGTCAGGTTTGGAATGAACTGCATTGTTTGCCTGGGTGGGAAACTTGGACACAAACTACATGATGAGTGTTTTGGCTTTTTGTAGCATATATATGCCAGCCTGCTTGGCCTAGGATATGCAGAGCAGTTCAGTGCAATAACAGAGGGGTGCAGATACAGCTTATACCTCCTGAAATGTTCTCTGAGACCAATCACGTCATCTCTATTTGTGAGGATGCAAAGTCTTTATCTGTTTATCTTATTCTCTGACTTACTCTACAATCTTCATATGCTTGAACTTGATAGCTCATTTCCTGCTGGTAGCTTTTAAACAGTTTACTGCAAGTGTTTGAGTTGTGGGCTTGGCTGGAAAAACTTGGCACCTTAGAGGTGCTTTATTTAGTTTTGGCATTTGATTTGGTAGAGGAGTGTGGAAAGGAGGTCCTGAGTTACAACTCTTTGTGGAAACTACTGCTGTGTGAAGGAGGAGTTCTTGGTTTCAAGACACCTTCTTGAGTGCTCTGAGAGATGGAAGCTTTAAAGGGAGATGGTGTTGAATGCTTTGCACCCACCTGGCTGTGCTTGGGCTTGGGCTACTACATGCAGTAGCTCTGTGGAGATACTTTGTGAGGCAGACCCTTCCAGTGGTCTTTTGGCACAACTCGGCATGAGTGCTCAGTGAGAGCTAGGAGGTCTGTCTCACAAAGTCCTGCCGATCAGAGACAGCTCGTCCCTGAGCGGGGCTCTCCCCTAGGCTTTCAGCAGGTAGAGAGCTTCATGTGAAGGCAAGGTGCTGTGGTCAGGCACACCTGTGCACTTCGTCTGCTCCTCTGAATTTGGGGCAGGCTTTGTTGGAGTTTGCAGGCAACCACTGAGCCAAGCCCAGCATTGCAATACAAGTGTTCCAAGTACAGTATTAAATCAGTACCAGAAGGAGCATTGTGGCGTGACCCTATTTTGAATTCTTGCTTTTGGATTTTCTTTGAATTTTGAAGTGGTTCAGAAATTTGCAACTTGATTTCCCTCCTTTTTTTTTATCCTAGGATATTCGAAACTTGCGATTTGCTCATAAGCCTGAAGGGAGAACTAGACGGTCTATATTTGAGAACCTAATGAAATATGCTTTCCCAGTTTCAAACAACCTGGTAAGTGCTTTCTCTTCAATTTTTACAAAAAAGACACAGAGTGGCAGTAAACTGTTTCATTCTATCCTTCTACTTGGTACAGCATTCACATGAGGTACATTTTCTTGAAGGAAGAGAAGTGGTGGTTTTTAAGTCTGTTTTTAACTGAAGTTGATAGGAGTTTAGATCATATAGAAAACAGGAAAAGTCTACTACTCTGGGCTGGATTCTTTCCTGCGTGGAGAATGACTTACTGATTAAGCCTTGTGACAGAGGGAAAGTGGTCAAAGTGCAGTGACATCCATCAGACGTTTACAGCTAATGGTGACTGCACTGCCCCAAATCTGAAGTGCAATTCCTCTGCTCTGTAATGTTATGACACTGCAATTGTTGTTTCAAATGCTCTTTGAAATAAACTGTTTGTTAATATGTAAGAGAATTCTTGTCCAAGTAGTTTTTTTCTTTCTCTCTTTAGTCATAAACTCCTTTTGTCCATGAAGTACTAGGTAATAGACAAGCAAGATCAGGGGTGTATTGGAAAGTACGCTGTTGGTTGAGTTACCTGATACAGCAAGAGTGTTAATCTTTTTCTCAAAGCCCTAAAAAAAAAGTAAGTGCGGTGGGGAAAAAGGAAGGGTCGGTCATGTGTTAGTATTTGAGATATCAAACATCCTTAAATGGGCTCTGAGTGGGCTCTTAATGGTAAATTTTCTTTCTTTCAGCCACTTTTTGCATTTGAGTACAAAGAGGTTTTCCCAGAAAATGGATGGAAAGTGTATGACCCAACTTGGGAGTACAGAAGACAGGTGGGTATTGTGCCACATCCTCTCTGCTCTTCAGAAGTGAGGCTCTGTGCAGTAATACAGTTACAGGTCACGTGGAGTGGAGAATGATGCTGCTGGCAGATGTTGTGCAGGCTGGATTTTGTTCTCCACACTGCATTGATGGATGACAGCAGTACAGCTTTAGAGACAGTAGCATCCACTGATGGAGATTGGCTTGGGCTGCAGAAACTGGGAGCTAACTTCAGCCTTTAGTAGAAAAAGCTAATGCTCTGTCTTGGTCATCAGCTGCTGCTGGCAGTGAGGAACAGAGGGTGGGTGCATCTTGTAGGTACACTGCTGAGTTTCACACCTCAGCATTTGCTTGTATCAGTTTTAATTCTTTCCAGTTTTTCCTGTCTTAAACAGGAACTTGGGAGGAAGAAAATTAAGAGTAGAATGCCTTTATTATCATAGGGAATCAGCATAGGAATCAACGTAGATAGTTTTGTGATTTACCATAGCTTAGAACACACAGTAGTAGTGTGTCCAGAGTAGACTGGTTAAAGGTATTTATGGTCATGAAGTGACAGGCTCTCAATTAGGAATACTGTGGTAAGAACTTGAGTAGTTCTCCCTGGAGGAAAAGATGAGAGAATTTTGTATTTTATAATGGAATTGCTCCTGCCATAAAACTCTCAAGTAGAGGAAAGAGCTCAATTTGGTGACACACTTGCCCTGGACACAGTAAACATCTGTCTCATCTAGATCTGCCAATAAAAGCAGTTTTCCTTTGTAAAATTAAGAAATTTTAAGCCATGTAATTTAAAGATTTGTGTCTTTCTCTTGCAAAGAAACAAACCCACTGTCCTAGCCTAGCTATTTATCTGATTTCTGCATCCAAAATGTAAGGATTCATTTTTCTAGCTCTAGTCTTCTAAACGCTGGGCATGCCTTCTAAATTGGTTATGTAGGCCTGTCATTAACAGATGGGGAGAGAGCTCTTCACTGTAGGGGGTGATTTGTTCTCTCCTAAAATAGCTGCCTAAGATAGATCGCTGGCTTCTAGGCTGCTAATTGAAAGTGAGATGTATCTTACTGTATCTTACTGTATGCTGCCTTCATTGCAAAAAGTGTATGTTTTGCAGTGAGATGCCACAATCCAAAATCCTGGTAGAGACAAAATCCATTCATTTGTAGTCATATTGTATCTAAGGTCAACTTTGGTTACGAGACCAGATAATGCAGTTATTATTATTACTTCGTTTAGAATTTACCTCTTTCTTGGTAGTTATTTTATGGAAAGATCTGTTTATAGAGAAGGATCTGCAGCCCAAGCTATTTGGGCAAGATGCTTCTTCATAGGTCCGAGAACTTTGGAGTAACAACTAAAGATCTCCACTGAAAAGCACAGCACTCGCTTAGCCGAGCTTCAGTTGAAACAGATGAAGTACCAAAGAGATTCTTGCAATACCTGGAAAGAAGGAAGGGTGTCCCCTGTGAATTTCGAAGTAAATTATACCACTTTCTTAATCCTGCCGTGTAGGTTTTTTATAATAGAACCTTATCTGTCCATATTAGTGTTCTTATACTATGATCTGGTGTACCTTAAATTTGGCAGGAGTTCAGTTACGTGGTGAAAGGGTACATGTATTTGCACTCATGTAGTTTGCAGCTCTTCGTGGCCTTTCTGTAAAGAAAATGAGACTGGGCCGTGGTGTCTTTGTTTCTGGTCACACAACGTAGCACTGTTGTGTGTAAAACACGACAGCTCGAGACATTGCTGCAATGTGCAGTTGTGCTATGCTGCTTTTGTATCGTTGTTGAGTAGAAAGGAAAAACTTTGCCTGGCTGCTTTTATGTCAAGAAACCAAACTAATGTCCAGGTGCTGAAGTCCTTGGTCATTTCCTTACATTGCCCAAATCAGGATATTTTGCAGCCATGGCCTATCTGAATTTTACCCCTGATGGGCCACAGTTACTGCCATTCCAGATCATGCAATCCATCTGTTCCAGTAGCTTATCTTCAAAAGTGACCAACGCCAGCTGCTGAAGAAGAGACAAACCATACTGCAGTAGATGTTTATGTTGTGATGTGGCCAGGAGGAGAATTTCATCTCTTTTGTTAGATTGATTTAGGTCCTGCAGCATGATGCTTTGTGTCCCCTCCAAAACTTTTAGGTATTTCAGTCTGTTTATTTAATTCCAGCATTTATAACCATGGATGTTCGATTTATCTGTGTGAATGTCTCAGCCTTTTTTCTTAATCCAACCAGGTTCTGCTAAAGCAATAACAAATACTACAGTAAATCAGGATTATGTCCTGAAATGGCAGCAGGGATTCGTTAACAGTGAAACAAAACTGGCATCATCAAATCAGATAATGTCACTGAGTCTGTGAATTGTGATCAGAAACAGAAAAGCAGGACATATGCACTGTCAGCAGGACATTTCGGAACTGGTTTAAAAACTGTTACAGAAGAGCTGGCCTAGGGCATAAGCAGTCCAGCAGTATGGCCAGGCATCAACTCGGTATATCTTAGGCCAGGTCAGGCTTTTCCTGTGGGAGCAGGAACACAGAGAGAGGGGAGCAGGCGAAAAGTAAACTCCAGCTACCAGGCATTCAGAAAAGACATACAGACCAAGATCTGTGGTCTGCACTGGTAGACATGGCAAGTTTGCGTGTGGTATTATTTTTTTATTATAATTTTCACTGAGATTAATAGAAGTGTGTTGATATGATAGCAACTGTAGCAATTAGGAAAGATACTCAGTAAACCCCTGACTTCTCTGTTAGCATTCTTGTGAAAGATGGAAATATGTAACTTATTAAAAATCTGTGATTGTGTAAAACTATGGGGAGTAATAAACAACCTGTAGAGAACAAAAGGAACTCAGAGAGGTTTGAGATTTAGTTGGTAAATGGAATCACATGTGGCAAATGAAATTTAAAACTGAAATTGCTCCCTGATTTTTATTACGTGCAGGCTGGCAGAGTTTAAAACAGAACTGCAAAGTGAGTAAGACTCAGTTGAAACCAAAAGGCCTTGAGATGCCTTTGGAGTAACTTAAAGCTTTATTTTCCTTAACAAGGTGGGGAGCATTTGGAAAATATTACAAGGGGTTGTGAGGCAGGAAATATGTGATATTTCCCTACATAAGTCCTTCTGGTCCAATCCTATGCTCTGGTCATATCTACCACGTAGCCACAGTATAGGCTTGTGATTGCTCCTTTCAGAGAAAACATATAGAAACTAGTAATTCAGAAGAACTGACCTGTTTTGAGGGTAAAAGAAGAGCCCCAGCATTAGTATACAAGCAGAGTGGGAAAGGTAGAGCAGGAGAACAGAGGATTGCTGGGTGTAACGTAGCAGAGTAAAGTGAGAATTGAACTGTTAAGTGTCCCATGGTTTAACTGAGGTCTCACTTATGCTAGGTATCTCCCTACTGCAGAACAGATCACAGCTCTCTTGTGCTAAGTGGACACAACATGGGCTGAGTGTATGGCAGAGGGACCAGCTTGGCTGTGCAGCTACGTCCTGTGTTGGTGTAGGGATGCGCCTCAGCCAATGTGCTTACCTTCCTGGTATCTCATGGCTCAAACCAAGTTTGAGAGGCACTCTGCTGGTGTGTAACTCAGGACCCTTCCTGCCTTGCCTGCTGCGGATCAAGGTGCACCTACATAGCTAAACTCAGAGTTGATCTGCTGGATCCCATAGAGAGATGTGACTGTGTGTAATTTCACCAAGGAAATTAATTTTTTTTCCTGTCAGTGGAAGATCCCCATATGCTTAACCTTAAATATGTGCTTTGCATGAGACTTTCCTGGCCAGGTAAGATAGGAGGGAGGGCTGCAAGGCCTGTTCTTAAACCTAGCCATGTGTCAGAGGCTGACACAAGCCAAGGATCAACAGGAGGCAGTTTGGACAAACTGTATCCTGTTTGGAGAATAAATTAGTTGAATAGCACGGGAGTGAGGTGCATTGTTTCAGCTTGTCTCAGTGAGAATGTTCATGGGACGTTTAATTTATGACTACAGATGTGGCTGTGCTGCCTTCCTTAGTTTGTCCTCTGGCAGCCACCAAACATGGTGAGGGCTTTTTTAGCCTCATTTTTTTTTTTGCTTTTTAAATTATTTTACCTAAGAAAGACTGACCTTTTGTAGCAGCCTTTGGTCACTAATGTGGACACCCAACAGCCGTGTGCTGTGGCAGCTTCCGAATGATCAGCCTCCTGTTAGCGAGGCACACCTGGGTTCCTCCTGCAGGTGCACAGGCAGGCAGCTCCCAGAGCCATTCCTTGACCTGCAGAGGCTTCCTGAGTTATATCTGTAGCAGTGTGGTTTGATAGTAGGCTTTTGGGTACTTAAAACTCACTAGGAAGCGGTGAAATGCATCTTAGATGAGGAAATACTAGTGTGCTTTATATCACGTTTAGCTGTCTCTATTGATTCCAGCTGTAGAGAGGGCAAATCTGAAGGAGCACGAATAAATGCAGAAGCTACTCTGCATTATGGCAAACGTCCTGGGAAGCTGCAAATTCAGCTTCTCTTCTAGCCCACTTGGCTTATTTCTGTTTGCTTCCAGTCCTTACAGAAAGTCACGATCCAAATCCAAAGCGTTTTGGGTGGTGCTGTGATTCGAGGCTCCCGTGCTGGGGGAAAGCAGACATTCCCCATGATTCAAAGGAAATTTGAATGCTGACACACAGTGTCTTTTCTTTCTTTGGGAGCTTGTGATGGATTTTTCTGGTCTGGGCTATTGCAGAGGAAAGATCTCCTTCAAATTTGTCAGTGTGACAAGTGAAAGTCTTAGAGCTGTGGGGAGCTTTAGAGCTTAGTTCTGGCCCAAGCAGTGTGTGCTGAAGCCATTCTGACCAGCACTGTGCAGAGGGTGCTTTGCAGTGCCCACTGCTTAATCTTCTCTATGAGCAACTGGTAGAGTTGCAGGATAGAATGAAAAGGAGCCTTTTTTCCATGTAGCTGTTTGTCAGCTCCCATTTTCCTTGTCAAGACTGTGCTGACAGTGTACTTTTCATTCAGATTTGGGGGAGGTGAAATCCCCAGGTCTTGCTGGTGGATCCACTGCATGTACTTACTAGGACAGGACTGAAAACTAATTTGCCATTAGCCCGCTTCCAGGTAGTAGCCAGCTTGTTTACAGCTGGCACACAGCTATGAGCAAGAGTCTTGCTGTTCCCTGGTTGACAGCAGAGCTGGTGGACCCAGCAGGTAGACTGAGCATGTTCTACCCATCAGTAAGCTTGGACTGTTGTCTACACATTGCTTATGCCTGTTTCTGCCAATTCTTAGGCTTCAGACTGCCGAAAATAGCTTTCCTTTTAGGGTTTTGGGGTATTCGTGATCCTGGCAGCTCTGCTGATTTCCTTGTAGTAACATTTCCTTCCCAGGGAGGGCCCCAGCAGAGAGGTGGTTCACAAGCAGGATGTGTGACTGGAATTAGACAGAAGGTCTGTCCTCCCCTCAGATTTTTAACCATGACCTCTTTTGACAGCATGACTCACCGCTGTGATGGTGAACCGGCTGCAGTTGGTGTGGGTCAGCCATAATTACCACAGCTTGTCTGACTTGTGTTAGATTTGTCATTTATTTCCTGTGTGAGCCATGACAGTGGTAATCACTGTCCCACCACCCTCCTTAAAATGAAGTACTGTTGTTAGAACAGAGGCATGTATTGTTTTAAGAGTTGATGTTCCCCTAAAACACACTCTGTGCTTAACAGTCTGGCCATGTTCAGAGCAGCAGATGTGTCTTCCCCACAGCGATGCTTTGTGTCGGTGCTCACCCCTGCTGCAGCAAGTGTCTGTTCAAATCTCTCCTTGCAAGCGTGCTGTACCAGCCACTCTGTGTCGATCTGTTCATTCCCAGCATCAGCCAAACCAAGTCTGCAGGTTGTCAGGATCCTCCCCGCTGTGCTTCAGATGTTACCTGAAGGTTGTTGTCTGGGAAGCTCTTGAGTGGCTTCCCCATCAGGGCACATTGAGCTCAGTGATATGTTTGTGTATGCACATTCCCGGCTCTCCCAGCCCAAGTCAGACTAGTACAAATGGAGATCTTAGTCTGACAGAAACATGGGAATTGCACATCACATACAGTAATGCAGCCAGAGACATAAAATTATTAAGTTTTTGGTGTTTTTAGAGGATTACACAGTTGTGCCACAAACACTCAACAAGGTCAAACCAGACTGAATTTTTGGGGGTGTTTTACTGCCTCTTCTACCTTCTGCCCCTCCCCTCCATCCTGTCTGGTATCTCCATTTTGCATCCCTAATTTCCACCCACCACGTTTGAGCTAAGTGCCCAGAGAGAGGTAAATTGGTCACGCATTCTGTCCTGCTCCTGATTCTCCTGTGAGCCCATGGTGAGACCAGGAGATATCTTAAAGATGCGCTCAGGGGGATCACCTGTGTTGCTGCATCTGTAGCCTTCACAGTTCCTTTGCCATAGGTGACCCTGCCTGAAGTCTTCTAGTTTCACTGTTCTTCAGTGACCTGAGCAAAATATCCACCTCTCTGGGAAGAGGCATGAAATGCAAATTACCAAGATAATGCGTTCCCAGATGCCAGCCCTAAATGTCCTTCATTAACAAAAATTGCCTTGAATTTCAGGTCTGGGGATTTGACTATGCTGAGGTCTCAGAGCAACTCATTTGCTAACGTGCTGTTGTTTCCTCTTTAGGGAATTCCCAATGAAAGCTGGAGGCTGACCAAGATTAATGAGCGCTATGAGCTTTGTGATACGTACCCTGCCATTCTAGCTGTGCCTGTAAACATTCCTGATGAAGAATTAAAGAGAGTAGCATCTTTCAGATCAAGAGGACGCATACCAGTGAGTGGGACAAAGGAAGCCACTTTGATGTGGTTTTGTTACACATACCTTTGGGCAATAAATAATACCAAGATCAGGCTGAGTGGATTCCAGGGAGCCAATAAATGGTCGATGGATAATAAAAGTGGCAGCAACACATTTGAGGACTTAAAAAACAGCAGTATCTGCTGGAACTACTGTTGTGAAAGAGATGTAGACTAAACCAAAATGAGAAGATAAGATAATTTAGCTCGACTCAGACCAAATCTCCATTTAATTCCTGAGAAACACAAAGCAGCCCTGTTGGACTGTTTACAATTGTCTGGCCTACTCTGACTTTCAGGATAGAGGAATACTTAGTGATACTCTTGATTAGAATACTTGATAAATGAAATTAAGGCCAAATACATTGTTATGATGATTATTTCAGCAGTAACTGAAAATGTACTGGTGTACTTCTAAAGTTTGTAGAAAATTCTATCTTGTTCCTAAAGTACTTAACTTTGACATGGTATAACATAAAGTAAGACATAGCCCACATAGTGACTCACACAATAGCCAGAAAAACAGTTTGCATCATATTTAAAAGTCAGACTTAAATTATTTGGTCACCTTTTGTTTGTTCAAACTTTGGGAATGCCACAAAAATGAATAAGGACGGAAGAGTTCTTTCTTTCATTCAATTGTGATTTAATAGAATCCAACCTTCTGGAACTGGCTTATACAGGATGGGATCCCAGACTAAGCCATTACAGGTTGAACACTTCACTGGCTAAATTAATCCCATTTTTCCTTTATTTATTTCCCATTTGTTTTCAAAGGTCTTGTCATGGATTCACCCAGAAAGTCAAGCAACGATCACTCGCTGTAGCCAGCCAATGGTGGGAGTGAGTGGCAAGCGAAGCAAGGAAGATGAAAAGTACCTTCAAGCCATCATGGATTCTAATGCTCAATCCCATAAAATCTTCATATTTGATGCAAGGCCTAGTGTGAATGCTGTAGCCAATAAGGTCGGGTGCTTTTTCCTGTGTCTAAAACTGGGAATGTAATAAGTTAGAGCACATTTCCCACCTCAACTTCATATTATTCATAAGGATCACAAGTGGGTCTTCCACTGTAAAGGAAATCTGCATGCAATGATCTGATTCTCTAGACAGACTTTTATACCTGCACTGGTATTTGTGAGGTATCATTGTGACTACTAAAGATCCATTATATTAATCTACAATGGGAAATGAAATTGCAAGGGGGAAAAAAAATGAAGTAATACTGAGGTCAAACTCTAACCCCCTGGATCTTGTGTATCACCATTTTCCACTTCACGTGGTTGGAAGACTGCTTCCTCTTAACAGCACCAGGACTCTGTCCCCATTAACTGTGATAGGAGCAGGGAATACTCAGTACTTCTGAAAATCAGGCATCATGATTTTTAATTTCAAAATATAGCTGGGGATAGCTAATGTCTAGGAATAGTGCTCTGTTCTTTCTGCTGTTGTAGAATCATAGAATTCCTTGGGTTGGAAAGGACCTTTAAGGGTCTAGTCCAACCCTCCCTGCCAAGGGCAAGGACATCTTCCACTAGACCAGGTTGATCAGAGCCTTGTCCTACCTGACCTTGAATGCTTCTAGGAATGAGGCATCTTCCACTGTTCTGAGAAACCTCTTCTAGTGTTTTACCACCCTCAGTGTAAAAAATTTCTTCTTTATATCTAGTCTGAATGTACTCCCTTTTAGTTTTAAACCATTAGCCCTTGCCCTGTCACACCAGGCCCTACTGTCCCCAAATGACTCCATCTTTCTTATAAACCCCCTTTAAGTACTGGAAGGCTGCCATAAGGTCTCCCTGGAGACTTTTCTTCTCAGCCTTTCTCATAGGAGAGGTACTTAAGCCCTCTGGTCATTTTTGTGGTCCTTCTCTGGACTCACTCAAACAATTCCATGTATTTTCTGTGCTGAGGACTCCAGGGCTGAATGCAGTACACCAGATGAGGTCTCACAAAGGTAGAGTAGTGGGGTAGAATCACCAGCCTCAGAGAACAATCACCTGCTGCCCATTTGGCTTTTTGTGCAGCCCAGGATACGATTGGCTTCTTGGGCTGCAAGCGCACATTGCCAGCTCATGCCCAGCCTCTCATCCAGCAGCACCTCCAAGTCCTTCTCAGCAGGGCTGCTCTCATTTTGTTCATTCACCAGCCTGTGTTGATGCTAGGGGTTGCCCTGACACAGGTGACACCTTGCACCTGGACTCATGAGGTTCCCATGAACCCTCTTCTCGAGCCTCTCCAGGTCCCTCTGGATGGCATCCTGTCCTTCAGGTGTGTCAACGTCACCACTAAGCTTGGTGTCATCTGCAAAATTCCTGAGAGTGCACTTGATCCCTTTGTCTGTGTCACTGATGAAGGTATTAAATAACACTGGTCCAAATACCAGCGGTGTCACTCACTGGCCATTGAGCTGTTGACCACTACCCTCTGGCTGTGACCGTCCAATTCCTCATCCACCAAACTGTCTACCCATCAAATCCTTACCTCTCCAATATAAAGAGAGAAATATTGACAGAAGTTCAGGTAGATGACGTCCATAGCCCTTCCTTTCATCACTACTCTAGTCACTCCTATGTAGAAGGCCACTAGGTTGGTCAGGCAGGACTTGCCCTTGGTGAAGCTGTGCTGGCTGTCTCAAACAGCCCCTGGTCATCCATGTGTTATAGCATAGCTTCCAGGATGATCTGTTCCATGATCTTGCCAGGCACAGAGGTGAGGCTGATGGGTCAGTAGTTCCATCTTTCTACCCTTTTAAAAATTGTGTTTCATGCCATCACTTTAAGCTCTGTATTAATGGTAGAACTGCTTTGTTGCACTAAAGCTCATTTTCCTTTCTTCTTTTTTTTTTTTTTTTTTTTTAAATCTGCCTTTCCCACTGCTTAGGAAAGGCAATTAGTGTGTGGGTTATACTCCCCTGTAATAGTATGTTAAATTTTTAAATGATAGAATAACGAATGTAATGAGCTAGCAACTTGAATGGAGATAAATGATAATTACAGAGGAAAAGAAGCCTTGTAATGTGATATTCTTTGGTAAAAATTATAGCATTCATTAGCTATTGCAGGAAAGAGACACAAAGTGTGTGCGTGTACATGTTTGGTCCCAGCTGTAAGATAAAGCCAGTGTTTTCTGCCTGCTTTAGATAGCCCAGTCACTGTGGTATTTTGTCAGCTGCCATTTGCTCAGGACAAATGACTGGGATAAAGTATAAAACATGTTTTTGCTTAATGATTTGTCTGTGGATTTTGTTCTTCAGGCTAAAGGAGGGGGCTATGAGAGCGAGGATGCCTATCAGAATGCAGAATTAGTGTTCCTGGACATTCACAATATTCATGTTATGAGAGAGTCGCTGAGAAAACTGAAAGAAATTGTGTATCCCAATATCGAGGAGACTCACTGGCTGTCTAATTTAGAGTCAACTCACTGGCTAGAGCATATCAAGGTATGCATGTCTGCATCCAGTGCATGTGGCTGAGCAACCACAAGTCCTTACCAGTCTGTTCACTGGGAAAGATATCCAGAGCTAACTCCAGGATTTTCAATTCATGGTAAATTTAAAGACTTAGAATTTGATTTTTATTTGTGAACGCCTAAAACCATAGTTTCTTGGAATCTGGAGAAGATGGGAATAGGGACAAGAGAGGGGCCTGAAATAGTGAAAGATGGTGTTTTGGAAATGAAGTATGTTCCTGGGTAATGCATAACTGTGAAAGTTTTGGTTAGAGCTCAGGAGTCCCAGAGTTTCCAAGCTCTTGACTCAGGGATCCTAGTGTTACTGCCTGGTCCAGACCAGAAAATGCTGGGAGTTTGTGCCCTGTCGGCCTTCCAGGAATCCAAGTAGAGTCAGAATGAGGAGGCAGAGTGTTTCAACTTCTACAGATGTTGGTTCTCAGATTAAGTTCTTTCTCTTCTAAAAATGTCCAGTTTACATTGTTACTCTGCTAAAGCAGACAGGGACAGATCTGCTTCTGGGGCAGCTGCAAGGTGATGGCCATTTTGTATTCATGTCACACACAGAATACTCCTGTGTTTAAAGCCTGACCTGTTCTAGGACTGAGCTTAACGCAAAGGCTCTTCTAGAGTTGTGCCTACACTAGAGTATAGATGTGCTGTCATCTTGTTGGAATAAAAAATGTGTTCACCAGTTTGCTGTCCTAGTTTTAAAGTAGTTGGAACTGATTTACCATTCTGCTTGGGGCAAACAGAGCCCTTGGTTTGTCCTGTGTTGTCACTAGCCATTTTTCATGTATAGTTTCTGTTCCAAAGAGATTTTGTAATTTGTTTTTTCCTTGTCCTAGCTCATTCTTGCTGGAGCCCTCCGGATTGCTGACAAAGTAGAGTCAGGGAAGACATCTGTGGTTGTGCACTGCAGTGACGGCTGGGACCGGACAGCCCAGCTCACCTCTCTCTCTCTGCTCATGTTGGATGGCTACTACCGAACTATCAGGGGCTTTGAAGTCCTGGTGGAGAAGGAGTGGCTGAGCTTTGGCCACAGATTTCAGCTGGTGAGTCACTATCCCTTGGAAGGCACTATATGGAAAGTTATTGTCCCCCTTGAAGGATTTCAAAGGAGTTTAGCCTTTCCTGTGAGAATTTTCCTGGTTGAAGACAGGTGAAACCTGCTGCCACTGTTTTCTGCCTATAATTCCAGTCATCTTTTAACTTCCTTGGGGGCTGTATTGGTTAGATAGGAGGCACAGGGAGTATTAAATCTTTCAGGTGTCTGACTGATATGTCATGTTTCCATGCTTAGGCTTGAGCTAACAGTGTGCTTTGGGTTCAGGGCTGGCATTTCTGCTGGGAGTTGGCAGAGACCACTGGGGTATTTTTTCTTCCTTTGCAGTTCATTCAATTTTCTGAGACTGTTAGGCCACTGTCATCACAAATGCCTTGGTATTGAAGAGTTTGGAGAATTTGGTTATGACCTTGACCTCACATTTTCTTCAGGCACACTTTATTTTTGGGGGGGCTTCTAATTGCCTAGGTTTGATCAGCAGTTTGAGCCTGGACCACGAGTAGCTTGTGGTTGTGTTCCTGTTGCTGGCAGAGAGGCAGCTTTGTGGGCTTGTGACACAGCAATTTGTTATGGTTTGCACTGATGGGAACTGAGAGGGCCTTTCGGTAGTATCCTTTCAGTCTTTGTTCCTATTGTGTTTTGCTCATAGCTGTTGTCTAGTGGTTGTTAAATTTTGGCAAGGACTAGAACAAGGTCTGTTTACAGCACTTGCAGTGCTGAGTTGCATTGTCAAATGCTCTGAGGAAGGTGGGGAAACTGAGGCACTAAAGCAACTGAGGTTCTGCTGCAGCAAAACTTGCTATTTGATGTTTGAGCAACGACTGTTTTAGCTTCTTCCCTGTCTAGACAAGGAAGATAATGATAGTGATTTCCTTTGGTGAGGGGTGAACAGCATTAAAGAAGAGGTAGAGATCTCTGTTGCATACATGTTATTGTTCTTTGTACGGTACTTGGGGCTCCTGGGTAAGACATAACCATTAATGTACTATAGTAGTTATGAGGAATCCTGCCTCACACGTCTTGGCCACACAGCGTGGTCAGGGTTGGAGGCCTGCTTCTGGGAATACTGTGATCACTGCCTCTCTTGAGGTGGCAGGAGACGGCCTGGGCTAGTGTTTGTACAGCACTTGGAAGCTGCGAGGTGTTGCGTGACGGTTATCGCCACATGCCATGCCTCTAGGTAGTGTTTAGACCGAGCCCACTGTACTACTGAAGTAGCCAGGACAACAGCTGCAACTGAAGCAAAAAGCATTCTCATTTTTCTTCCTTCTGAACTTCAGCTTTTAACTGAAATCAGTGCCAGCATAGCATCTGGAGCCTCTACTCAAACAGTTCTTGTTTTAATTTAGCACGAAAATATCCCCATAAAGAATTTTCACTTCAGAGATGAAGGGAGTAGTTGTCCTTTCCTCCTTTACTCACTAATATGGACAAAGCAAAATCAAGACTCGTTTGAAACTTTTTAAAGCTGTTGGTAAACGTTTGGGTGACTGGCAGGAGATCCCAGCAGCTTCCCCGTGAAGCCCTGTGCGACTCCTGTTCTTTGTCCTGCTCTGTTTCAGAGGGTTGGCCACGGAGATAAGAACCATGCAGATGCGGATCGCTCTCCTGTCTTCCTCCAGTTCATCGACTGTGTCTGGCAAATGACAAGACAGGTAAATTGCCACATTGTGGCACTTGTATCCACAAAGCCAGTATACCAAGACATGGCACAGTGTCTGGACACAGGAATGATTTCCAAGCTGACCATTACAGGCTCTACGTTTGGGAGGTTCCCCTACGTTTGGGAGGTTTTTTCCCAGATATGTGGGACCTGGAAGGTTTTTTGTGTCTTCTGTGGCACAAATGTCAGCTGTGGTCAGGCGGTTCACTGAAAAAAAATTAGGCTTATCATGGATTAAACCAGGAGAAATAGGAAAGAAGGATGCCACTACATATGAAGCTGTATCATATTCACACAGAGAGAAAAAGAGGCTTTACCATCATTGAAGTCACTTTCATCATGCTCTCCTTGGATTGCTCCTAAAAGCAGGCATCCTGACCTGCAGCTGGTGAGCTCAGGATGTTGCAACTGGGGCAGCCTGGGAAGAGAAGGATGGTTGTGAGGGAGGAAGGCATGTGTTTGCAGTTCACTGCATGTATTCTTACTGACCCTTTGCGGAGCTTCAGTTCTCCCTGTCTCAGGTCTGATTGTTTAGGCATGGATCTTCAACAGCAAACATGGCCTGTGCCCATACACCTGTTCCTCCTGCTGACCTGTATTGCAAGATGCCTCCCTGCTGGTCCCTCTGGGAAGTACTGTGTTACACACACAGGTTACTTCCATTTAGCCCTGGGAAATTTCCACTTTTTTAATGCGTTGTTTGACATGTGCCCTTCATACACAGTCTGGTGGCGTGGTCTGTCATGAGGGGCAAGCTTCGATTTGAAGCTGCACTGAGTGTGTATAAACACAGTGCTCTAACCCTTCAGACCTTTGGCTTTTGCTCAAAATTCCTCTCTGCAAATGCAGAGCAGCTTTCCAAGAGAGAAACTCTTGCTTCTACAAGGAGCAAATCTGCCCCTGAATATCCAGCCAGGAAGGGAACAGGGACAAATCCTGTTCTAGAAATCAAGAGGCCAACTCCTTACCAAGACGACAGAGTGGGAAGAAAGTTTATTTTCCTGTTTTAAAATCCCAACCTAATTTTCTCTTTCTGACTGAAGTTTCCTACAGCATTTGAGTTCAATGAGTACTTCCTGATCACCATCCTGGATCACCTGTACAGCTGTTTGTTTGGGACCTTCCTGTGCAGCAGTGAGCAGCAGAGAGTGAAGGAGGTAAGGTGGCTTCTCTCCAAGGTGAAAGCCTGTTCCTGGGATGGCTTTAGCTCACCACATACTGCTAGGGAAGTTGGTTCCTCGCTCAAAGATAGTGGTAGATGGGGGTCTGGGAAATGGCAAGCCCCCTTCTCAACAGCTGGTACCTGGGGTTTTCCTGTTTGCACAGCCTGCTGTCTGTTGGAGACACTTCATGTTTCAGAGCAACATCATCTCCCCTCTGGACAGTGCTTCTGCTTCCAGTTGCTCACTATGGTTGAATAGCTCCTAGTGTCTCCCAGGTAGTGGAAATGCAGTTTTGCTTTGAACTTTAATGTAACCTTCTCTGTGGAAACTGGTGCCTTTCTGTCCTCTCTTTTCTTTGAAGTGGTTCCTTTAGGGTGCTTTTAACTACAAAGTGTGTGCTGTCATTCTGCACACATTACAGCACATAACTTGTCTCAGTGTGTGTTCTTGCTATGCATTTTTCCTGGAGAGGACAACACTCCTAGTATTAGTAAGGACGTGCCTCTATGTTCTGCCACAAGCCAGCTCTGCCCTGCAGTCTTGTCGAGGTTTGTTTGCCAAGGGAAGAGCATAGAGGTGTATACATTCAGACACAGTCTGGAATCAGAAGGAAAAGCAGTGACACTCCTTCTGTCTCACCTACCTAGAGGTGAAGCATTCTGTCACTGAAGTGCTGTGGCCTAACAGCACACAGGTACATGAGGACAGTGCTGTGTGGACCTGATGTGATCATATTGGATAGCACTTAGGTTAAAAAAACCCCAAACAATAAAACCTAACTGTAATATAAAAGTGGTTGCATTTTACTGTAGTGAAATCGGGATCCCTGTTTCTCTGGAGTCTGCAGTGATTGAATAATTGTAATGTCCAGAAAATAAAATCTGCATGCTATTTGCATGTGGCCTTTTTTTTTTTTTAATATTTTAAAAGGCCTCAGCCTAGTGAAGTACTTAATCTAGAAAGTACTTCAACACTGGTTTCAGTGGGACTATTCACAGGCCTAATTATTCCACTAGATCAGGGCCTAAGTCAAATGTTTTCTTTATTTCTTTTGCAATTAAATACTCCAGCAAGTCCTTGAGGAGCACTTTAAAGAAGTGAAGTTTAACTAAAGCATTGAGAGTTCACATGCCAGTGTCCCCTCACTGTGCCAATGGCAATTCCTGGTCTGTGTTGGCAGCTGGGTGGGTAAGAGGGGTTGTTCTGTGCCAGGGCATGTAGTGTGTGTGTCTGCCTGCATCCATGTGCTTTTAGTACACTAACCACATCAAAAGAACAGTTGGGGGGGGGGGTTAAGCTACAAAAAAGCAACTAGCTCTGTATTAATGACAGGCATATGTCTATGCTGCTATAGTTTGTAGATAGCTGGAATTCGCATGGCAAATAAAACCTCCTCCACCCCCTTCCCTTACAGAGCCTTCCAAAAAAGACCGTATCACTTTGGTCTTACATCAACAGCCAACTGGAAGACTTTACTAACCCCTTGTATGTGAGCTACTCCAACCATGTCCTGTATCCCGTGGCCAGCATGCGCCACCTCGAGCTGTGGGTCGGCTACTACATCCGCTGGAACCCCAGGATGAAGCCTCAGGTACCTCTTCCACAGATCCTACATCTGTTTCCCTCTCTGGTAGTACTGATACTGTTATTTTGCAGTTCAAGATATTTGAAGCACAAGATGTACAAACTTATGCTGCCCCTGCTTAAATTTAAAAACCAAAGCCTAAATTGAAATGCCAGCAAGAGCGAGCAGCACCTACAGCTGGCTGGTGCAGCTGCTCAGCTTGTGAAATCTGCAGGACCTGGATACACTTGGCAATTTAGAAAATTCCTCACTTAGAATAGGGGAAAGAAACATCTGAATTCTTTTCACAAAAGAGCGAAAGAATCCCAAGACTTCTTTGGATGTGGGATTCTAGATAGGATTTTTGGGGCTGTATTTAGGCTACTGGCAACAAGAACCTGGTGCTTTGCTTTGGCTCCCTGAGGCACAGGGGTCTGCCTGGAGCCCTGTGACACCCCTGACTCCAGCCAGCAGGGATGCTGGCTTGCCCCGGGGCAGGCACCTCAAACAAGCAGGCCCTGAATGCTGACATCACTTTTTAGGACGAAAGGGACAAAATTTCCCAGGTTGCCCCTGTGGCCAACTGCAGTTGACAGCTGTGCAATTCTGGGGTGTTAGAAACAGGAACCAAACAATGCTTTGCAGTCAGAACCATGTGAAAACACTTAGATGAACCTGTAATTTTTTCCCCAAAACTCCAGGCCAAAATGCTGTGGCCAGCAGCCCCCAGAAACGTCAGCTTGGCAACTGTTATCTTTCAAATTTTTAGCTGTTATCTTTCAAATCTTTGTTTAGCCACCGTTGCACTGTGTACATTGGATCAAAATGAGCATCTCAAAGCTAGAGCAACTGTGCTGTACCCCTGAGCACATGACTGATAATACTCATGTACAACCCCCTCCTCTCTCATAGCTGTGTGTAAGGTCAGCAACTGTTTTGTGGTTCAGGCTTCCACTACCACACTTACCTCCCAGCGCTCAGCTACATGTTTGCTTGCAGGAACCTGTCCACAATCGCTACAAGGAGCTTCTGGCCAAGCGGGCCGAGCTGCAGAAGAAAGTAGAGGAACTGCAGAGAGAAATCACCAACCGTTCCACCTCATCCTCGGAGAGAGCCGGCTCTCCCGCACAGTGTGTTGCTCCTGTACAGACAGTTGTATAATATGGACTTTTCTTGCTGAGGATCCTTCCCAGGACCACGGGGGCAGCTTTTCTGAAGCCCTCTGGATTTCCAGCATGGTATCTGGAGGATGCCAACCTATTTATTTATTTCTCTCCAGGGTAATTTATTAGTACTGTAGCACTAGAGGAAGCTTAAGCAAAAACAACAGACAAGGCCCCCTATGCAATTAATCTTCTCAGTGGCTAGCTTATAATACAAGCCGATTGCTCTTACCACCTAAAAGAAAACTAGAGCTTGCTCTTTGCTCACTGATGTGCTGGAAATCACTTGGCTTTAAAGAGAGACACTGCACTAGAATGAAGTACTGAGGAGGAAAAACATCTGCTCAGAACTTTGAAAGGTCTCCCCTTTGCTAAAAGGAAAGACTAAATCTGACTTTGTATTGGAGACTCAAATGCAGCTGTAACAGCACAAACCCTCTGCTATTAATTTCTGCACTGCAGTGTAAATGAGGGTGCTTGCCAGCACACTTGGAGAGAAGCAGTGATAGTGTCTGAAACATATCACTCCCTTCACCTTGATCTAGATCATAGGAAGCCATGCAAATGATGCCTTATTTAAAGAAAGGGCAGCTCCTCCCACTAAAACACAATGGTAGAGGAGAAACCTACAGGATTTGTACAAAACCTACATTTATTTTGTAGGATGCAAAATCAATGCATCTCTGCAACTCCAGAATCTCACAGTTTACAGTGGGTGTGCCAGGATGCAACTTAAGCACCTTTATTTCTGGCCTCCTGTGCCTCATAGTCACCAGGGGAAAGGTAGTGGAATGCCACAGGGCATGTGTGAACTGCTGGGATCAGCCATTACATTTTGCTTGGGTAAGCATAATTAGTGACTTTAATGCTTCTGTGCAGGGTCATAGTGGTGTACTTACAGTATTTCAGTGTTCCGTTAACTAACGAAAGCAACTGTACATCAACCAAAGATGCCTTTCTGCCTGCATTCCAACCGCTGCTTAAGGTTATTCTGGCAGACCTAACATCTTAGCCACATTTAGGCCTTTTTCAGCATAGTCTGCTTCAAGAATTAGCATCACTTGACTAAGCTCAAGTTGAAATTCAGTTTTAATACAAAATTTTACTGCAGAACAGGGGATAAAACACTCGGTAAAGCCGTGACTTCCCTGTTGCTCTTCCAAACAGGTAAGCACAGGGCTGTAGAAGATTCGGCTTACAGGAAAGGCATTTAGCTATGTGCAAGGCTGCTTCTCACTTGAATGCTAAGGAGGAGGGCACTGCTTGGTGGGAGTTCTTGTATTGCTCTCTTATGACAGGATCCCATACTGTGGTCACCTGTCAGCATGCTGCTTCACTCAGCTACTCTTCCACTAGAGAGAAGGATTTTCCAAGACAGTACAAGAGTGGACCAATTTCCCCCATAAGATACTGCCTTTCAAAAGCCACATTCCTTCCCAGGCAGTAACAATAATTTCCCCCTGCAGCCTCCACTTTTGCCTGCTCTACTACTGCAGTCACCATCTCCGTGCTTTACAGAGAAATCCACAGCCACCTTCTGACAAGATGAAAACAGGCTGTACAGCATCAGCACATTTGTTATAGGGTGGCCTGAGATATTATGGTTCAATAGTGCTAAAGAATCCACACAAAATACTTCTGAAGGACTTGGATTTGCTTTTATGGTAAAGGGCAGATCTGCTCTTACATACAATCATTATACAAGATGGTTCATTGCATTCTTCTGTATTAGCAAATTGACTATGTGTGTATATTTTGTTTCTTGATGAAGGCTGTTTGGTTTTGCTAACACTAATAAAAACTGATAAAAGGGTAACATTCCTGTGCTCTTACTTTCAACAGTGTGGTTCTCCAAAGGATTTGCAGAACACACAAACAAACAAAATAGCATTGCAAGTTTAGTATGCGAAATCCAGATCTCCCTCATTTTTCTGCAGATGGTCTTGCAAGATGCTAATTTTCAAACTCTAAAATCTAGAATGACAGGAAAACAAAATCAGTCTTTGGACAAGTTTCTCTTATCCTACACAGACCAGCATTAATACAGATACAGTGCTTAGCTGCTCAGTATTACAAAAATAGAATCACAAAACAGTCTGGGCTGGAAGGGACCTTTAAAGACCATCTAGTTTCTAACCCCCTGCCATGGGCAGACATCTTCCACTAGACCAGGTTGCTCAGAGCCCCATCCAACCTGGCCTTGAATACTTCCAGGGATGGAGCATCCACAACTTCTCTGGGCAACCTGTGCCAGTGCCTCACCACTCCCACAGTAATGAATTTCTTCCTAATACCTAATCTAAACCTTCCCTCTTTCAGTTGAAAGCCACTCCCTCTTGTCCTATCACTACATGCCCTCTACAGCTTTTAGGTACTGGAAGGTGCTGTAAGATCTCCCCAGAGCTGCCTCTTCCCCAGGCTGAACAACCCCAACTCTCTCAGAACCTACTGTCCTAATACACTGTCAAGTGCAGAAACTGATTTTTTCATTGTGACAGTATTTCATACAAAGTATTCTGAAATACTTTCACCATTAAAAAACCCTCCACCATCTCTGCACTTTTACAGTGCATTGTAAAAGGAGCACTCACATTTTTTGTACGTAACTTACGTGAAGCCCAAATTCACTGGGATGATTTGGGATCTACTCTGGATGCTCCTTGATGCTCTCACACCTAGTAGGCTTCCAACTTGGGCACCTCATTCACTGCAGGCAGCACATATGGAGCCTAAAATACTCCTAAGCCCTCCATCAGTAAGGAGCTGCATTGAGGACAGCCTGAGGTTGTGCTGAAGTTAACCAGGGATCAGCTGAGGAAGCTGATCTCCAGAAGTCCTTCCTAAGCAAAACGACCAAGTGTAAGTTTCAGCTACCGATTTTTCAAGACCTCTAGGATGAACTGCTCTCCAACTGGTTACTCCCACTATACCTGGTTAACAGCATCTGATTTCTCCCATCGCAGCTAACACTTTCTGCACCTTCAATGCCAGGAGACAAGCAGGGTGGATCACCTACACATAACTTAAACTCAAAGCCCTTGTGCCTATGTTGATCCTGTAGAGCTCCCTGTTCAGCTCCAGGCAAGGGTGGACAACTGTGACCCTCACCTTACCTGCATTATCTCACATTCATCACCCTGACCAGGGAGAAGTCACCGCACCCCAAAAAAGGGCTGCAGCAAACACCAAGCTAATACAGAGGAAGTGCAGGTTTCCCACAATTCACTCAACAGACAAGCTGGCTTTATTATTTTTCCACTGTATATACAAGTAACGGTCTTCTGTACATTCCGTTAATAGGAAATTCTTTAAATTATTAACATAATAAATAAAATTTACTCAGCTGTGCAAGTCAGAGCACAAAATTAATTGCACCACTACCAAAGTAGATAGCTCATCAAAGCACATATTTCAAGTTAAAAGCAAGATGCCAGGACTGAATGGCATGATTGAGGCACTTGCAGTTTAAAATACTTGTGGTTTATCTCACTCCTTTACCACCCACAGCTGTGAACCAGGAATAGGTATTATCCCCTATCCTATACCTTTTTCCTAAACTAGGATTTCTGTAGAAAAATATCACTTGATCATTAAGCAACATAATTCATGTGTTATTCTGCTCCTTTTTTGAGTTCTCAAACATCCTCTGCCATTCATGCTGACTAATGCAACGCAGCAGAACGAGAACTAGGAAAGCATTTTGAAGAGAGCTCCACAGAACACCTTTAAAAGGTGTTCTCTGAGAGATGGAGCCATTGCAGCTGCACACAGAACTGACAGAAAGCCCTTAAGACTCAGGGCTGCAGCATCAATTTCAAACAAGGTGCATCCTCAGGAGCCTCCCAGTTCAACAGCAGTGTGAAATCGTGCTGGCACATCACACACACACCAACCCACATAAACGTGCAGTGCTTGGGTGTGCTGAAGGAAAATGGAGGGAATGCTGGAATCATAAGATAAGGGACCCTACTGTTCAACTCAGTGGCTGGGTACCTTAAAAACAGAATGTGTTCTAAGCTAGATCATAATATATACAATCAAATGCAGGGATGGAGAACTAAGAGCCTGTATTTCAAAAGTGTGCTTAGTGTAGAGTAGTCTCTTCCACACAGTGAAAAAGGCAGCTGCTTTACATCCAGAATGTGAGAAAGTTTGGCCAGTTTGGGATGATTCAAGAACATGTCTGCAGAAAAGTCAGTAGTCCCAGCTGATATCATCTTTCTGTAGAGAAGTCTGTATGGTCTGCATGTCTCTCAACAACTGAAGATTCTTGCGACTCTTCTCCCCAGGTTTCACTTTGATGGGACCAGCATTCTTTCCTTTTGTGGTTACTGTAGTTGTTACTTTAACCTCACTAACAGGGAACCTGCTGTCTTTCATTTGTTTAGCAGAAGTCTTTTTGGACTTGCATTCTCGCTTAAGTCTCTCTAGCTGAAAGAGAAGCAAAAAAAAATATTAAGCAGTGACCTTGTTTCATTTTATGTTCAGCAATTTTTCCAAACATATCCCACCACTCATCTCACCCAGTTAAGCAAATGGATGTTTCCAAGTCACCCTGAATAATAAATATTTTCCTTACAAAACACTGTTATATTTGCATCTTTAGAACTATGATTAGCTTATAGTCTGAACTACTAGGTTACCTCTTTAAAAACTGACAAGTTCATTATGGGGAAATATCTCCATCAGGAATGTAATGGAAAAAGCTGACTTGTCACTGTTACCAACTGTAGAAAAGTTTTTCTGCATACATACTAGTGATTTTAATAGCTGCTCACTGTCAGAGATGTAGCTTTAAAAAGAATGCCAGCACCCTGCTGGGGTGAAGAGGCAGTATCCACACACAGCACTGTAAATAAGACTCGGTACTCCCCAGAAAAGAGTGAGCTGGCACAAGGCTGAGTGGGGAACTGGGCAGTCTGAGGTGCAGACATTCATATGCCCAAACTGCAACACAGGTGGCTTCTACAGTTCCTCTTTCTTCAGGTAGAGGTGCTTCCTCCTCCTAGTTTACAGCTTGCAGCAGTTTTCCTAAATCCTGGCTCCTAAGCTTTTGCCAATAGCATATGAGCATCATTACTACTGGGAACTACAGCACATCTGCTTCTCTGCAGCAGTTCCTCTGAAGATCATAAGAGATCAAAAGTGAGTAATGCAAACATTTCATATGTCCATTCTGGACATCAGCAGCAGAGCTCTCAGCACATATTTTATGTGTAAGTTATGTCAGGTAAGGGCAAGTCTCTGTTCATATGAACTGAGCCAGATTAAACACATGGGGTTAAGCTCTTTGAAAGAAATTCACTAAAATTAATGAAGATGAAAGAAAACAGGAAATCAATATGTTTTATAGTTTTGAATGAACAAGCTACACTATTCAAAACATTTTGAAAGATATTAAATAAGCAAAACAGTCCTTTTTTGTCTTTTAAAATGCAAATCAAAACATAAATAGGTAATTTACTCAAAGTAAAGGAAAACTGTTAAACATTGTTCAAGGGACAAGAGGTGTAAAGCGTGATGCAATTAAATGAAAGCTCTGCCCAGGAAAGCATGAAGAGTGGGCACAAGGGTGACAGAAAGGACATTTCTGCAAAAATACTGGGATAGAAGGATGGAGGCATGCAGACTAACTTTGGGACATCAAAGCTAGAGCTAGGCAATACTACTCTAAAGTAGTTATTTCTGCTTTATTCAACTACTATTAGATTAGGATATCACATTAAAAAAGCCACTTAAGTCAGCAACTCTACATGAGCATGAACACAGTCAAAAGAAACTCACCTGCAACCGATGCCTCTGAACTTTGCTGATCTGGTCTGCCTTTGCTTCCATCTTTCCCACCAGTGCCTCAAGTTCCCTCTCCAGATCCTCCTTCACTGCAGTGGTTGGGGCTTCCTGGATGAGCTTTGACAGCTGCTGGTGATCACTACCATAGAATTCAGACAGAACAAGGCTTGCATCAGGCTCCCTTGGCTTCTACCGTTTGCACCCCCAGTTCAGAAATAACACTTCTAGGAAACCAGAGCATCAACAGCCAGACATGACCAACACACCGTAACAAACCAGTAAGAACAGTTTTGCTGGTTTGTAGCACATCCTGGTGGCAGGCTGCTCCTACATTAAGTCTTAATAACATAAATAGTTTCCAGCTTCAAGTCACACATTCAAAATGACCAAATAACCCTTTGAGAGCATGATCTCAGCACTCACTCAGTTTTGTGTAGATGTACCTACTGCAGTTGCCCAGTACAGTAACAATTATGGTCTGTTAACCAGGACAAGCAAAATGTCTAGTAAAGCTGTCCTTTAATGGAGTATTTGTCCACATCCTGGTTTTGGCTAGGACAGAGTTAATTTTCTTTTTAATAGCTTGTACAGTGCTGTGTATTGGATTTAGTATGAAAATAATGTCGGTAACACACTGATGTTTTTGTAATTGCTGAGCAGTGCTTACCCTAAGCCATGGGCTTTTCAGCATCTCCTGCTCTGCCACTGAGGAGGCAGACAAGATGCTGGACAGGGGGAATAGCTGGGACAGCCAATCCATACTGGCCAAAGGGATTCCATACCACAGAACACATCATCCTCAATATATAAGCTGGGGGGAGCTGGCTGGGAGGGACCCACTGGTGCTGGGGACAGGCTGGGCAGCAGACAGGTAGTGAGCAATTGTGTGCAATTGTAGAGTTTCTTTTTCCTCGGGTTTTATTCTTCTCTCCCCTTTTGATAACTAATAATGGCCAGTCTTCGCGAGCGAAGATCCGGGGAAGGTCTTTCCACCTTCCAGCCTGCGCATTGGATTTTTTAGGTGAGACACAGTGTGCGCGGAACTGAGCCCACCCTTTAATCCTAAGGTTCATCTGCCGGGGCCAAGCGAGCTTGGACGGTGGCAGCGAGGTCCTTAGGACGTAGGTGGGTTGCCTTTAAGGGCTAACGAGCTCCACCTGCCCGGGAGTGGCCCTGACCGGGAATCGAACCCGGGTCTCCGCGGTGATAGCGCGGCGCCTTTACCACTAGACCACCAGGGGCTCCATTTTTTGATAACTATTATAATTACATTTTACTTCATTTCAATTATTAAACTGTCCTTATTTATGCTGATGAGTTTTACTTTTCTCAATTCTCCTCTCCATCCCACCACACTGGAGTGAGCAAGCAGCTGCATGGTGCTTAGCTACTGGCTGGGATTAAACTTCAACACTCATTTTTGGCACCCAGTGTGGGGCACGAGGGGTTGAGGTAATGACAGATCTGACCAGAGTGTGTGAAAACAGATTTTTTTTTTTTTTAATAGGCATTCATTGTATTGGCTTGATAGTGGCTGGTCAGAATGCTGATTTATAATCAGAAATTTATAATTTCCCTGACCATGAAATTCCTCATGGCGGGGGGTGTGTGTGACCTCAGCACCGCCGTCCCTCCGCACTGCGGGAGCCTCCTACTGGGGAACGTTTATAACTACACCTTTCACCTTTGCTCCTCACAGGGCCAACCCGCGGAGGAGACATCCTCCCACACCTTCCGCTTCTTCTCCGGGCTAATTACAACAGCGTTTGAGAACTCTGAATACCCTTAAGATGTTAAAACCTGCACGGTCTTAGTGCTAGGAAGCAGCATGGTGCTGAATGTGGTTCAGATCAGGGGAGGGTGTGCATTTGGGAGCAGTGAGCTGAGTGGGACTGAGTTGCTGTTTAAACCTCACAAACAATAAGGTTCCTTTAGAGAATACACACCACAGGGAACCCTGACTTCTAGCTGTGGGACCATAAGGAAGACATGACGAAGTAGCATGGAAATACTATCTAAATCATAGAGGCACAGGTATGTGAATTGCAGGGATAAAACAAACAGCAACTTTCCTGAAGAATCCCCCCATTTGTGCTTAAGTCTCCACTGAGCAGTTCCCCAGACAAGAGTGGCAGGGCTGATCTTATTCCTGATCCTATGAAAAGGAATTCTAATTTGTTTTTACACAAATGGAGAATCCTAGGACCAATATTAGAGGAGCCTTGTCTTCAGCCAGCACAGCAGAGGGACAACCAGCTTTATGGACTGTGGATCAGATGGCCCGGCACATCAGCCTCACCGGAGTACAAGGCTCTAGGAGACCCTGGTCTACAGTGCACCTAATGCCATCAAGCTGCACAGGGGCAGAACCCATTTGTATTTCTGGAGTGACAGGGGATCCCAACAGCTGACAGTCCTGGAGGCTGAAATCAGCCAGAGTCATTGGCAAAAGCACCCCAGTGCAACTGGCCGAAAGACTCTGTGCAACCTTGGAAGAGACCATCTCAGAAAGGGGCATTTTAAGGACCCAAAAGGCTACTGGGGGGCTTTCAGTATAGCTGCCTGGGAGACAAAGGAAATGAAGCAGCTCTCTACCCTGCCCGGTCTCTCAGAGGACCCTTCTGTTGTTGAAGGGGTTGAAGGTCAAAGAACAACAGGTAATAGAATGATTTGGGTTGGAAGGGACCTTAAAAGATCAACTAGTTCCAAACCCCCTACCACAGGTAGCGACACTTTCCACTAGACTAAGTTGCTCAGAGCCCCATCAAGCCTGACCTTGAATATTTCCACAAATGGGGCATCCACAGCTTCACTGGACAACCTGTTTGAGTGCCTCACCAACCCCACAGTAAAAAATTTCTCCCTAATATCTAACCTAAACCTGCCTTCTTTCAGTTTGAAGTCATTACTCCTCATCCAATCACTACACATCACTGACAAAGTCCCTCTCCAGCTCTCTTACAGCCTCCTTTGAGCACTGAAAGGCCACAGTGAGGTGGCTCCCTGGAGCCTTCTCTTCTCCAGGCTGAACAACAGGAGAGGTGCTCCAGCACTCTCTGATCATCTTTGTGGTCTCCTCTAGACCTCCTCAAACAGGCCCAAACCTTTATGTTAGGAGTACCAGAGCTGGACACAGCACTCCAAGGGGGAAGTCTCACCAAGGCAGGGCAGAGGGGCAGAATTACCTCCCTCGACCTGCTGGCCATGCTGCTTTTGATGTAGCTCAGGACAGGGCTGGCTTTCTGGGCTGCAAATGCACACTGCCAGCTCATGTCCAGCCTCTCATCCACCACAACCCCCAAGTGACTTCAGCAAGCAACTATCCATAACCTTTCCCTGCCCCAAAAGGCTTCTGACAGATGAGTCCAAAGTCATGGACTAAATGAACTCAATAGACAGGGATGGTCCACAGACTGTGGGAATGATATGTGTATGTGCACACATCAAAAGACTGGAAAGGTGATGGTGGTTAACTGGGATATATTGGAAAGTGTGGAGCTTGGGTAGGACATAAATGATACAGTATAAGGGTATACAGTGCCCATCCCAACAGAGTGGAGGGATGGGTGTGTGGGAGGGTGCGTGTGAGTGAGTGGTTGCACGGTACTTAGCTGCTGTCTGGGTTTAGCCCACAATAATCCACTACATCAGGGCTGTTGCTACACTTCACTGCTTCTTTTGAATTCAATACTGCTGCATATAAACACAGGCATGGTGTCCAGACTGTTTAGCAGAGTCTCCCTCTAACTGCAAGGAGAAATGACAGCCTCTGCAGAATGACAGCCAGCAGAACGAAGATTTCCTAAACTAACACCTTTCTCAAGCAAAGCCTTCCAAGTTCAAAGCAAAAGGCAAAAATATAAAACATATTCATAATCTGCAATGGAGAATATAGCACACTCACAAACTCATCTGTCCAAATTCATCTTGTAAAGTCAGCAACACTTCTGAGAGCTCTTCCTGAGACGAAGACGATTCCATCGGCAGGGATGGCCTTCTGGTTTTGCTGGCAGGATGAGCAGTGCTGATGGGTTTTGCCAGTGGAGTATCATTTACCACATGTCTGTTACACAAAGCTTTCGTGTGTTGTTTCATCAGGTGTAGCACATGTTGCACGTTGGCAGCAACTGAATGACTGGGACTGGTAGACTGGAAGGAAAAGTGAAAGAGACTTCTTTTAAATGGCATTGATAATGATAATTGATAACACTGAAGAATATTTAAAAACAAGAACACTTTTGTTTTGCTGCCAAGAATGTATTTTTTGTTTGAATTAACATTTGTTTGAATGAATAAGCACTAACAAGAACAGTTTGTCAAGCAGCATAATGCAGACCTGTTTCTGGAAATGCCAGCTCAGCAAGTTATCAATATCCAAAATGTATTTTGAAGACAAACTGAAGAAAAGCATCAAAGAAAATTAAATGATGTGACCACTGGGTGTCAGGAGTGCACCAAGTCAAAGTCACTTAAGGAGTTGCAGCTACTGAGCATTAAGCTTATCAGCTCACCTTCCCAGCCACAAAGGGTACGTCACCCAGACACAGTCTGTAATGGGGCTGCACAGTGGAACGGCTTCCAAGAGGGCATTTCTGGAAAGAAAGAAGAGAAATGTTTAGCAAAGATTACATTACAGCAAACCCATTTTCCCTTTACCTTCTAATAAAGGATGCAACCCACTTCCTGATCACATGCACACATCCTTATTTAACTCCTCAGTAACTCTCTTCTCCCCATCTTACCTTCTCTGGCTGCTTAGCTTTTTTCCTGGGTTGTCTTGCTTTTGGAGAAAGCAATGGTGATGCTGCTTGAATCAGTCGTCTGTTGGTTTCCAGGCCTGTCTGAAGCTTTAATTGAGGGAATAAGAGGAGTTACTGAAATTATTTTAATAAATAATCAGAGACAGAGTAAGCAGAGAATTGCAAACCAAGAGTTTTTGAAATACAGGCTCTCTGAAAGCAAGGGCTGTAAATTTTTAGGATGCTTTTCTTTTCCAAGGTCCATTTAAACATTTAATACTTCCTCTGGTAGCATTACTACATTTACTAGTAATCCTAGTAAATTAGAGAATTAGCCTTATTGCATTAGCCCCATGCAGGCAAGTGCCCAAACATCAGCTGTGCTTTACACTTGACAAAGTATTAGGGAAATCCAAGCCACTCAACCTGCTCAACCATGATCCCATGGCATATAGTTAACCAGCAACTACTTCTGTTTTATTGACAGTAAAAAACCACTCCAAACAAACACAATAAACACCCAACCACCAAAACATCTTTTGAAAGATTTAAGTTTAGAACTCCTTGTTGACAGTGAGAATCCTGTATGCTTTGCTGTTGGCTTGACAACAGCATGTTGCCAAGACATGACACAGCTTTACAAATCATGTCATAACCAATGTCATATAGAAGCATTCACAGCACAATTTTTCCATGATGAATTTGAGATCCCTTTCCCCATCACACCAAACTCATGGCCTAACACATTGCCTCCATAATTCCTCAGCAAACAATGAGCATTTAACGAACAGTACACATCCAGGTTAGGAGAAGACCAGCATCCTTATGGGCTCATAACCAAAAGTACATTGTCTCTTTTTTGCCTTCTTCTAAAATATTTTAATTACAATTATGAACAAGGGAGCATACTTGTTGACCTTGATCTATTTCTATTTAGAGATCCCCATGCACACTCAATTATTAATTAGTCTGAATTTCTACTCCTCTTTTCCAACAACTTAGTGGAGAAATCAAAGCTTCAGTGCCCATTTGCTGTCAGAAAAAGGTTTCCAAAAAGCTCAGAGAACTTCAGAATATTTGGTATCCCAGAGAGGAGGAAAAAAATAAGGAAAAATAAAAAAAGGCTAAACCCAGGATTTCATTATTCTTTGACGCATATGGGAAGCTCCTTCAGTAAGCTTAGCTGAAAATTTGATAAAAAGGAAGAGCTAATTACAGTGCATAGCAGTACAAAAGAAATTTCCTGTTGGTTACCTCAGCTGCTTTTTCCTGAACAAGCTTCCTTGCGTGTTCTTCCTCCCAAAGCTTCTGTTCCAGCTCTTTCATTTTTTTCTAGTCAAAGTTGAACAAAAATAATAGCATTACTAATTAAACCATTTTTACTTCCTGAACCCTACAATACTAAGAACTTGAGCAAAACTATGAGTCCAACTTATGACTTAGAGGTAAGTGAAGCAAAGGTAACTGAGCATTAGAACGACTGCTGATGCTTTGTCTGTATAGGCATAAATGCAGCAGTCAAAAATCTCATGCTTCAAACTTGATTTTTCTTACTTCCACAACTGATATCTGAATTTAAGTCACAGCTGACAGCAATACCCAAAGCTGTCTCTCTCCAGCTGTAAAAACACTCTAGAAAGTAGGTTGCTTTGTGTACATTATCCTCCAAGATTTTGTATTACAAAAGAGCTAACAAAGACATATCAGGTATCATCCTCAGGCAAGAGAAGACTTGCTTTACTTAGACCACTAATGGTATTTTTGCTAAAACCTGTAACTTACAGTCTTACAAGAAAAGACTTTTTGAACATCTAGCCACCCTCCTAATAAAGAAGAGGGAGGAAAGTTTGTATGATGCCTCTGAAGTAATTTAATTTTTTAAATCGCAAAAGCATGTAAGAACTCTTTCGAAACTCCTTTTCAAAGAAAAGGTTTAAGGGCAAAGCCACACATTTCTTTGTAAACCCTCCAACAAGATGAAAACCTTGTTTAAACAGGATACACTGAAATTCCCAATGTTAAAGTTATCAAATAGCTTTCTGACTTTTACACAGTAGAAAAAAAAAATAATCCTGAGCTCCAGTACACAAACCAACTTCCCTTCTCACCATCACCCCCCAAAGACTGATAACTCACAAAGCCACTAATCAAGCTTGAGGCAGAAAAACATGCAATACAGAGCAACAGCTGTATTTGTACACTTCTGTTTGTTTATAAATGCACTACACTGAGGTAGAAAAAAAAATTCAGTTCTGCTTTACTTAAGCATTAACTGCAAGAATAATGTAATGAGCTGTTATACAAAGGTGTTACAAGGCAAAAGCCTGGATAAACACTGAGGACAAAGGCACGATATAAAAGAACCAACTTTTTCTGTTGAATACAAGAAGCCTCCTGATGATTTTTTTTTCCATTCAAAACAGATGAATGGTAACAAAGGTTGTTTTCTGCCTTTGTGCACAGTTATTGGCACAGATCTTGATATCCTTGCGGTCAGTCTATAAAGATCTTTTATTAACCTGTTAAGTTTGACAGAATTTTCAGTATGAAAAATATGCTGTTTAAACTGAAGATTGTCATGAAGCTGGGCCAAGGCTTTCATTCTGAAACGAACAAGTATTCCCTCAGCTAGCTGTCCAGCTGCATAGCAAGTATCTATCTTACTGTATCATCCATGATGGACCCTATTAGAAATATATACCTAAGCTAGATTACTGAAATAATTTTGTTTTCTTGTTTATAGAAGAAAGTATTGCACAGATTAGTAAACTATCATTAAGAAAGAGAGGGCACAGGGCCAACCAAACAGACCCTCCTTGCTAGTACTGCCCATTGTCTAAGACAGCACTGCACAGCACATGGGCTGCCTAAACAGTCTGCTTGACCACCCCTAGCCACTGCAAAGAATTTCAGTGAAAAAAAATAAAACCAAAGTATTTCAATTTCTCTTAGAAAACAGGCAAAAATAGACATTAAGTCTCATGCAACCACCTCAGAGAATCACAGAACCACAGGATGGTTTGGTTTTAAAGGAATAATTAAAGGTTACTTAAGTCCAAGACCCCTGCCATGGGCAGGAACACCTTACACTAGACCAGGCTGCTCAGAGCCCTGTGTCCAACCTGATTTTGAATATTTCCGAGAATGGGGACATCTACAACTTCCCTGGACAAACTGTTACAGCATTTTGCCACCCTCATTGTAAAAAATTTCTTCCTTGTATTTAGTCTAAGTTTATCCTCTTCTAGTTTAAAGCTACTGCCCCTTGTCCTATTGCTACAGGCCCTGCTAAAACATCTGTCACCATTCTTCTCATAAGCCCCCTTTAAGTACTGAAAGACCACAACAAGAGCTCCCTGGAGCCTTCTCTTCTCCAGGCTAAACAACCCCAATCCTCTCAGTCTGTCTTCATAGGAGAGATGTTCCAGCCCTCTGACCATTTCTGAGGCCTCCTCTGGACCTGATCCAAGAGGTCCATGTCCTTCAGGCACTGGGGACCCCAAAGCTGGGATGCAGCACTCCAGACAGAGTCTTACAAGGGCACAGTAGAGGGGGAGAATCACCTCCCTCGGTCTGATGGCCACACTGCTCCTGATGCAGCCCAGGATATGGTTGGTACTCTGGGCTGTGAGTGCCCACTGTTGCCTCATATCCAATTTTTTATGCACAAGAGCCTCCAAGTCCTTCTTGCCAGGGCTGCCCTCAATCCTTTCGTTCTCCAGCCTGGAGGGAAGTTGCCCTGACCCATGAGTAGCACCTTGCACTTGGCCTCATTGATCCTCATGAGGTTCCTGTGGGCATGCTTCTCAAGCTTGTCCAGGACCCTCTAGATAGTATTCCATCCCTCAAAAAACTTTAACCAAAGACAGAAAGTTATGAGACCTCACAGAACACTTAAATGTCATAAAACTGGTTGCTGGGATAAGCATCCAGATTAGTTCCACCAGAGAGGAAATGTCTCCAGACTAAAGACAGCTTTTACCTCTGTGCTTCTCTGCCTTGCAAATCAGCATCTGCTGGACAGCTGAGCAGTCAGTGTCCACCCAGCTGACACAGGGAAGCTGCTGCTTCTCACCACCTGGCAATGAGAGGGCAGAGGGAGAGCTAGAGGTGTGGGTAGTGTACAGCCACAACAGGATGTGAAGAATGGTTCACAGAATGGTGGGAGTTTATTAAGTCTCATTGTTAGCATTAAAATCAATTACTATGAACCACAGTTCAAAAAGCATCATCCACACATACATTCAAATTCTGGTCACCTGGCTACACACAAGACCAGAGCCCAAACTGCACTTTTAGGGAACAACCCTGTCCTTACTCCATTCTCAGACAGAGACCTGTTCAGATCTTTTCAGTCAGCTATCCAGAGACTGCACTGCAAGTCTACAGTTGCAATAAACATGCCTCAAAAGCATTTCTAGGGTAAGTACTCCTATTACAGGCACTTCACAGAAACAGTAATCTCAGCACTTCTTTTTCACAGGCAATATTAACATTAGCAAACTCCTCGAAGATAATACACTTATAGGGTCAGGTAGTGGTTCTGCAGAGATGAAATGCTCTCAGTAAGATCCACACACAACTTGCGCTCTGGCAGCGCCTGAAATCAGAGGCAGTTAAATTATTGCTCGCTCATGAGCGGTCACCTCACCGCTTTCCATCCATTTCAACACACCATGTATGAAACAGTCTTTATTTCTTGCTTCAAATTGAACTTGAAAACATTCCTGTGGTCCCATGGGCATAATTACAAATCAAAGATGAAAGATGCAACTGTTCTGGTCGGGGAGTACAGTCACTCCGTCAGGATAAGGTAACACCTAGCATACGGACGCTCACGTAGGAACCTAGGCCATAACCACAGAGGCAGACAGACTTGTGAACCAGAAAATGGCTCATCATCACAAGGAAAGTGACCTTTAGTCATAACTAGATCCAGATCTTTTTCAGCTCCCCGAATTCAAAATTGTGTGAATTAAATACCCCATCCCACTAAAACAGATTTAACTGTGACAGCTACTAATCCTAAAGATAAAGAAGCAAAGACATCTAGTTAGATTCAGAAGAAAAAAAACCACAATAACAAATAAGAATCTTAAGGCTGAAATGATTTCCCCTAGCCATGCACAAAAAGGCAAACAACCCAACCTTACTAAACTTCAGTTGCTACCAGGCAAAAACTTGGTAAAAGCCCTTCAGAGGGAATTCTGGTTGCTGAACCAGTTATTACAACTTTGACCCTGGAGGAAACTGCTGCTTCTTTCACTCAACAAGACCCAGAAGACACTTATTTCTCTTTACAAGTGTTTGGTCTAAGTCAACAATGCAGACACTTGTACTCCACAACTGCAGCTCACCACAATGGGGTGTCAGGATCTTAAACAGCTTGTTACAGCTGCCTTGGCTCAGGGACTTCCAAGAACAGTTATAGTGTCTAGAGGTCCTGCAGCAAACCAAGTAGCTGAGGATTTACTACCAAACATCTCCTTATGTACTCCCAGAGATATACCATCTACTTCAGCACCTTGTAAAGGGCCGGCATGCAGGGTGGCAAGCCTGTGATTTTGACAGAACCCAGACCTGCCATCCTCAATACCACAGTTTAATCTTGTTCTATCTGGTCCTTTTGGGGGAGCAGGGAAGAAACTTGCAGGTGGAAGCCTCTCCCTAGTTAAGTTCTCTGTAGTTTTCAGGCTTGGGAGACTTGTGGTCACTACAGCAGTAGAAAGAGGTAAGTGCATGTGACCTCAAAAGCCAACATCACAGAGAGTACACAGAAAGATTTATGGGGTTTGTGTGGAAAAGTTTTGGTAACAAGTGGCTACAGGCATGGCTTCTGTGAGGAGCCACTGTAAGCTTCCCCTCTGTCTGAAAGAGCCAATGCCAGCCAGTTCCAAGACAGACCCACCATGGCCAAGGGTTGAGCCCAACAGCAGTGGGGGCAGTACTTCTGGAATAAAAGACTTAAGAAGCAGAAGAAAACCTGCTGGGGAACAGCAGCCAGAAGAGAGGAGTGAGGTTATGTGAAAGCAACAGCCCTGCAGACCCCAAGGTCAATGAAGGAGACAGAGGAGGTACTCCAAGTGCCGGAGCAGAGATTCTCCTGCAGCCCATGGTGAGATTTGGGTTTATTTCTAATTATAAAGTTACAAAAATAATAAAAGTTCAAGGGTCAACCCACCACAACAGCATATGACCAAACACAATCACACTGAGCTCATAAAAGCTACTGATTCAAAAGGAGTACTGAAAAGGCAGCCTGGTTCAAACCCACTGACAGCTATCCCATGCTGGAGGCCTTGCAAAGCCATGCTCCAGAAATCTGCACACAAAGTAGCTAGCAATAATTGTGTTTCTTAAGAAGGAGGGCTAAAAGAAAAAAAAAAAAGAATCACACACACCAAATTCACATAAGTCAAGTTAAATATGAGTCATAACAGAAAGTAACCGTAAGTTATTCAGTAGCATGGAAGGCAAGTCAGAAATTGAGATCTTAGGAATGCCTGTAAAGTTATGTGCCTAGGCACCACCTAATCATAAAAGAGGAACACAGATACTGTTAAGGTTTAACACCAATTCTTGCAGTATACAGTGACCTAAAGTCCATCTAGCCATGCAGACTTTCAGTAATAACTTTAAATTTTTACAACACTTCAGCTTGAAAAAGAAGTTTACTCGCTGTCTTTCTCTACAGCACAAAGTTTTGCTCAGCTCTTTTACTGACATATAGATATCAAGTGCTGATTACAACAAACAAGACAAATCTGACACAGTATCCAACACAAATGACAGACCTCTGCTATGGACTGCATCGCAGTAAGTCTCCTATACTCTTTTTCCAGCATATCCAGCTTTTCCAATTTAGACTGAACGTGTGACTGATCAAGCCGATCTCTCTCCAATGAACCCTTGAAGGGAGAATTGAAAAGGAAAACAATTTATAAATACAATAAGACCATCTACAGTAAGCCTTGTGTCTGGAGCACAAAGGAGGCCCATACACAGTGCAGAGGAACTTCTACTTCCTCTGTGCAATTTTAAATGGTGCTGCAATCAGGGAGCGAACACCACTACTGCTCCACCAATGCTGGGGAACTGCACACTCAACCACATTCTGATGAGAGAAGATTCTGCAGTCTCTCCTTCCTCCAAACCAAGGTTTGGTAAAAAAACCAAACCAAGTTCATTATGCAGCTACTAAAGATAGCTTTCTTCTACATTTTTTTTTCTTTAACAAATATTTATCAGACAGAAATAGAACAGCTACAGAGACCAATGAACAGAGAATTCTAGGTGATCCATACACCTGTAAAATTCAAGTTCATTTGGTCAAAAAAAATAGGTCAAACCCTAGTCACTCATGTAGAAATAGGAAATTTTACTGCTACGTCTACAGAATGGGTATTTCACCACCAGTTTAGCAAAAGCAGTGCTAGCAAAGAATATCCCCAAAGATCTGAAGAGTGTGAACACAAAAGGGAGGTTTTTTCCCAGTGGTATGTGGGTATAACACTGGGGGATAAGGATGAGCTGTTGCAGTAAGCCAATCCCACAGAAGCAAACAATTCTTATTAATACCAGAGCCTGATATTGCCTTAGAAACAGGTGCACAAAGAAAATATCAGGGTCATGAGAAAACTGGGAAATGAAAGTAGGGAAACTATCCACCACTAAGTATATAAAGGCCAGCTGAAATAGACATGCACATTTGAAAGTATGAATATTACAGAAACTATGAAAAATCACGACACAGTTAATGATTTTTAGGATTAAACTCTTAATATAATTTTGAGAACACACCTGTTTCTCCAAGAGATGAGACTTCTCATTTTCTGCATGTTGGATCATTTTTCTCATGTAGTCCAGCTGTTTCTCCAGAAGGCTGCACCGAGACTCCGCAGCTGCCAGCTGAGAAGCCAGTTCTGAAGACAACAGAAGGCAGAAAACTGAAATCATGTACTGTTTGGTCCTGGGATTTTTTTCTGTTTTCAAGACAGTTCCAAAACAAACAAGAAAAGGACCATCTAAACAAACTCACATATTAAGCCAAATTAACTTCTGTATGCATGCAAATCCTTAAAACAAAGTATGTTTTTTAATTATTTTTTGTAACTCCATGTGTCATTGCAAATTAAGAGATACTGAAAGTAAACTGAAATTATTTAACACATCAATAATGTTTCATCCACATCACTGTTCCATAGTATCTATACATTTTGCAAACAACCTTGATTTTTCTTTGACACTTCAGTCTTGTCATGCTCTTTATATTCCATTTGTTCACTCAGTACTTTTTTATAGTCTGCTGTTTCCCTGCTGAGGTGTTTTACATTCTCCTCCGCCTGAAACCTTTCCAACTCCAGTCGATGAATTTTTTCCTGGAGATTCTTCAGAGCAGAAAATATGGCTGTAATGAACAAATACTTTTTGTTAAATATTATTAAATCAACACTTCAAAGCAACATTGAACTTGAAACATTTTTATAAAACCATGTTATGTAAGAAAACTAGAGTGTTCCTTACAAGCATCCAAGACTCTTTCCAGGAATTAAGACCTGCTTCCCTTTAAACCATAACTGATTCTAAAACTAATAGATGCCCTTGGTGCATACCTTTCACCTGATACATTTAGGACAGATACAACTATTTCCCAGAACAAAGCATGCAAATATTATGTTAAGTGCAAACAGTGCATCCCCTGTCTCTTTGTCAAAACGAAAAAAAGTTACAACTAGGCAGTTAAAATAGTGGCAATTCTCTATATCATCGCTCATAGCCACAGAGCATAATCAAGGTTAGCTATCAGAAGGGCTGTAGAAGTGTTTATTCATAAGTTCAATTCTTTTTTAATTCTTCTGGTTTTGCTCATGTTCCCCTCCTCCCCCCAAAAACAAGCATCTCCTTTGTGCTGAACCATTTTCCCTTTCTGTTGCGTTCCCAGCTTTAGCAATTACTAAACGAACCCTTTATATATAATTATTATCACAAAAAGAAAAGCAGAATGAAATAGAATTCACATCACCTTGCAATTAGACCATCTGCTGGTAATCTGATGTATTACATTTCTTAGCTGTATTGTTTAATTCTGTAAAGGGAACCACAACCATAAGCCCTTTCCCCAATACAGGGCTGATAAAGCAAAATACAAGAACATCTGTACATACAGTTCATATAGCAGATTAATCCGCAAGGTAACATCAGCCCACTCCTTTGTGCTTAAATCTACTCCAGAGAAAGAATATGCCTTTATTACAGAATGCATGAGCACTAAAGAAGTTGGGATTGCATCAGATTACCAAAAATAAAGATAAAAGGCAAAAATATTTATCAGAACAAGTTTTCCAGAGTAAAAATTCATCAAATCTTGAAATGCAGAATAGCATGAGACTATCACATGAGTAAGAAGTACCTGCTTTAAGGTATCTGTTAAGTACATAGTGTCAGCAGTCACAGTTAAGGGGAAGTTATTAATAATTTGGCCTTATTTGCTTTATCAGAGTCACCAACTAGCACCCTGTTCTCTATTTATAATACTGTTCCTAGAATTCAGTTGAAATGGGCATAGCTGAAACTATAAACATATTTGTTACTATTATCCTTAAAAGCTAAATTGAAACCCCTGTATATTCACAATAATGACTAACAAAATACAGCAATAAAGCAACTCAAGCAATGAATAGATAAAGGTGAAACCCAACAGGATGCCAAGTATCATTCAGCCATTTCTATTAGAGTATTAAAACCAACTATGCATGCTGAGACACACAGATACAACACAAAGAAATTAAAACCAGAATAAACAGAATTTGCTATACTCAATTTCAGGATTTTTCAATATGACTTTTTTTTAACATGGGAAGGAGCAATAAGGACCCTCAATAACAATCAAATCAATTCTCCCATCTGAAGTTAATTATCATATTCTTACACTTACTAAAATATACACTCCAGATAATTTCTGCATTTTTATTGGTTGTGTAAGAAGAGAAATATATTGGATCACATCCAGGTTTGATTCAATTTTCAGTATGTATTCATATTTACTTACACTTCAACATTTTTTGAAAATAAAAATATTTGTTGATTCTTACAGAGGGATATGATTTATCCGATTGTCTTCCATCACCTGTAGTTATTTCACAGTTGGCAGATTCCCTGTTTGAAACTAAGTTGCAAAGTGGAAGCTTATGAGTCAAAGGTTTGTTGCTAATACAATCTACATATGCCATCTACAAAAATACATCTACGTCAGTAATTTATAAGGAAGCTCCTTCCTGCACATCCAATTTTTCATGTCACAAGATTCTTTCAGTTTCGTGTCAACAGCACTCTCAGAACTGATGGCATTGAGAGTAAATACTGGATTTTAAAGAGCACTTCAAGAATTAAGATTTCATCTACTAGGTAACTAACATACAAGTCTCAGTAATTCAGACATGAACTGTGTTATTGGAACAGGGACTTGAGGTTATCATTCTGATTTTTTACTTAGTTTCAGTAATATTACGATTCATCCTAAGTATTTCTCACTATTTTCCCCTATAAGGAAAAAAACATGAAGTTGTTCATAACTTTAGGCCTCCATGACGCTCCAGTCTCAAAGGAACATTATTGCAATGAACCTGAGCCAAACAGCTTATCAAAGGATCAGCCCTGCTCTAGTCTCCTAACTCCTCATGCTGCCTCCTGTACTCTACACCCCACAAGGCAGCTTTGGAATACATCTTGCTGCGTGACAAGCCAATTCACTAAAATAACAAAAAACTAAACAAGAATGGTTTTTTTGTTCATGCCCTGTCAGGCAAGACAAATCTGTTTATCTGGAGATGAACATCAGGACCAGAGTGAAAAAGGAAGGAGAAGGAATAGCCTAGAAACAAAGGATAAATGGGAGTAAAACGGCCTCCCTTTTTGGTGTGGTGAGCTCTCAGTTCAGCACTGTGCTCCTCTCTGTATCCTCCAAGTCTTTGCTGACATGATAAATACTTAACACACCCTTTTTGACCATGACAAGCCTTATGATTTCTGTCAGACCAAATCTCTTCCTTTGCTCCAAACCATTCTGAGGAAGTTTCTTCATTTCTAACTCAGCTGTGAACTCAGGAGAGGAAAAATTAAAAGAGAGGAAGACTGAAGAACAGGCAAAGAAAACATGTCAGTACAACTTCAAAAAGCACTCAGACTTTTACAGTTCTCTACTACCAAAGAGTAGCATCTTTCTCCAGCTGTAAGATGACCTTTCTCATCAGGTGCTCTTCAGAAAGATAAGAGCAAAGGACCTACAAAACAGATGACCTGGACATCCCTGGGAAGTGATAAAAGGATAAAAAGACTGCAAACTCTGTAGATGTGGGGGACATACATGTATTTATTTCACCACATGATTCAGAGACAGGTAAGAAAACTCTGATAAACTATTACCTCTGCTATTACTTTCAGGATATGGAATTACTGGTTTCCATGGGGAGCGCTGCAAATCAGAATTAATAAATGGCTTGTAATTTGGGTATTCTATAAATGAAGTTGCAGAGAGTCCATCTGTGACTGATGAAGAGTTATGAGCTTTGTGCAGATCATCCTGAAAATAAAACAAAGATGTTATTCACATTTGTTCCTTGTCACAATAACAAAAATAAAGAAAAGCAGAATTCTATCAGATGATGTCTGGAAGTACTGCTGAAGGAGACTATCATACCACAAAAGCTGTATTTCCTTCCTTAGACTGTGTCATTTTTACATCCAACTGCCCCTCCATTAAAAACAGTATCTAAGAGAAAAATGTCTCTCGTACAAGTTTCCGATTTCTGCTTTTGTCTTCCATTTACTGATACTGTCTCTTGCTTACTGGGAGAAGGCAAGACACAGTCAGTTGGAAAACAACTGCCTTGTTAATTACTGCTTATATTTACTGCACATGAGATACTGTATAAGGTGGCTACAGATGATAAGGCACACCCAGGTTCTGAACCACACTTCTACATGCCCTCATCCAACACAACAGCTCACCAACTGCAGATGCAAGAGTCCCAACCCCTCTCTTCCGCTGGCTTCAATTCATCTTTCCTACCTTTCCATTAATATATTGAACCTCTCAAGACACATTCAGATGACTTTACACGACACCTGTTTGGTGGAATAAGCATAGGAGAAGCAGCAGCAGATCATGGCCAGGAAGGTACTCCTGCCTCCAAGCACCAATGTGCCTTTAGATCAGCTTGAGACTGCTCTCAAAAACAACACCACAGAGACCACAGCTTCCCAAGCAGTCTACACCAACTCTCCAAACATCTGCGGTGTTTTGGATGTTGCAATGACCAGAGGGGACAACCAGAATGTGAAGATGCTAGGCAGATGGAATACCATTAAGCCATGTGCTTTCTAACATGATTCTTCTAAGCAAATGAGACACAGCGCTTGGAATACCATGGTTTACGGTTCTGACTCAAAATTTGGCTACCTGGCCTAAGCCTTCCAACCTGTGTATATGAGCTAAACGGAAGACGAATGCTTATTTTTCACGTACAAGAGTAATTTCTCTCCACTGTACTCAACACTACATATTTCAGTGACAGAACTTGAAGGCAGCCTAGGAGAGAAGTGGGCTGCAGGCAGACGTGAAGCTCCTACAGCTTTCCTCCTCCACTAGTATGTCAACTGGGGAACTGCTGATCTTAGCGGGCTGATTTTATGCTTTTGCAAATACCAATCATTGGGAGCATATTGTGACCTGAATTAAAATACAGAAACTATTAAGTATCTCATACCAAATTAGACAACAGCCCAAAACACACTATGAGGAGGAAAAATAATACAGGGAAAAAATTTAAGAAAATTTGTAAGCTATTTAAAGCCCATACACAGTTAATTTCCACTTATAAAGAAAGTGATTAATCATGGATAAGAAATTAGGACTTTAAGAACAATGAATATATCAACTTCTGTTTCTAAGTACAGTTTTACGAATGCTTTGCAGACTGTGTTTATAACATTTTCCTACATAACATAATGACTTTTTTCAAGAGAACTGCATTTGCACAAGTTCTGTTACCACAGAAAATCAATTAAAACACTAATCCCTAATTAAGAATATCTTATTACCAGTATTTTGAAGAAGTATTGTATGCACGCAAATACATGCTCTCTTATGCTCAGCAGCCTCACTGGTCCAATCAGAACCAGTGTGAATTTAAGACTGAAAGTTTTTAAGGTGCTAACAGGAAGGCCTAAACCTCACTCCTGCAAAAATACCATCCGTGTTACAGGACATTGCATTGATGAACACAGAACACTAAGACCAAATGATGAATTAAAAATTAACCAAGCAAAACACAGTACTTGCAGCAGGCAATAAAAAAGAACAGCAGCAACATAAACCTCAACAACTAAAACAACAGCAACTATTGATTCAAATATCAATATCCTGTCTGTTATTGATTCAAAGATATCCCATGAAATAGTCAAAAAAAAAAAAAAAAAAGGGGGAACCTGAAACCGAAGTAGGACTGCCAGCATCACAATCTTTCTAGATGTCTCTATCATCTTTTATGTCTTTATAGGTAAAGTCTTGTCTGAGAATTAAACCACCAAACCACAGTAGTTCCTTTGTTTGTGTTTGTTTTTATTGGCACGAGTAACATTTTCCTAGCCACCAGCAGACAGATTTGAAAGAAAAAGCCGGCATACTCAAAACACTTGAACACCAAGTCACCAAAGCAAAGAAATCAGAGGCTTTGGACTAGTTGTATGCCTTCTAAATTCCATCCGGATGCAGGCAACAGGCACTAATTTGAATAGTGTAATAGTCAGTACAGATATCTGCTTGAAATAAACACTGAAAAAATTGTGCTGGAATATGATATGTTGTACCAGCAATCATTCTTTGCTTCAGTCTAAATAACCGCTTGCTACCAAGCACATTTTCCTTATATATTTAAGGAAAAGACTATCTTTTAGTTCAGACCATCTATTCAGTTTCCCAAAAAGTGACTTAAAATAATCCTACTGAATACTTTGGGAAAGTTAATGAAACAGAATCAAGGAATTTGCCATCAGAAAGTTCAAACTCCAACATCACAGCAATTCTCTGTTCTTCTTCCTAGTTTCTCTCAAGTCATTAAAAGTCATTCAGGTCTGTTCCTGCTCTTGGAAGATCTCATGGGAAGCATCATGCTCCAATGCTGAGGAAGATCATGAAACATTAAAAAACAAATAATTCAGGCAACTCTATATAATTTGCTCTGAATCTCAGCTAGGCCACATTTGCTCACTACATCTCCTCTCTCTCTTTCAGGGTACTCCCTGTAGTCTTTCATTCCTTATGCCACACTAAAGCCTCAGAATAGTAAATGAAGAGGCTTAACAGTCCCAGAAGGAGCCAAGTGCACCAATATTACATAACAGTAGTCAGCTGAGCACATTTAATCTCAACAGGCCTGCAGACATTACCTTCCCAAATTCATTGCTTCTACCACTGCCTATCAGCTGCCTACTCAAGCATGCAGAAGGGAACATTGAAAACACAGAGCAGTGATAGGTGAACACACCACCAGCACACAGCAACCTCCTCAAGCTCTCAAAGACTGAACACAATAAGGAAAAAAGACACAACCTCATATGGAAAGTTTCCCAAAAAGAACCAGCAAATTGGGACTGATGGACACTTTTCAAACCAAACAACTTGTGCAGATGGTAAAAATGACCCACCATAAGGTTGTTACTTCCCTGACACTATAAAGAGATACAGCACACCACGAAAAACTATGCAGAAGGCTATTAATCTCAGTGGTGTATCAATCTTTTCAGTAAGGAAAAAAACACCTGTTTTTGTCATTATCTTACACAAATTTACTAGATCCATGGACAGCAAAAATAACAATGATTTATAAACAAGTTCCATCTAGAGAACTAAAGAGAGAAGGACACGACATCTTTCAGGCAATAACTGCAGCAAGGAAGCAAGCACGAAGGCAAAAAGTCAGCATCACTGGCACTGGAAAAAGAGCCTAAATTAGCGGTAATTGCAAATTTTTCTGTGGGTGCACAGAAAAAAAAAGGAAAGAAAAAAAAAGACTAATGCTTGGTAATGCTTTAAGTGGTACACAGTAGTCCTCACATGTGGCTACAAAAAACCCCCAAAACAGAATAACAAGGTACTGAGTTTACAAAGCATAAAATATCCAAGTACCCAATTATTAGAACTTTCAAACAGTCACTCTGGAGGGGCAGTCTCAATTAACAACCTGCCCTCTTCCCTCAGTACTTCATAACTAGGAAAGTAGAGAAGAAAGGACAGGCCCTATCACCCAGAGACCAACTTAGAGTGCTGTCTGTGCTTCCCTGATACAGACCGAGTCAGGAGCACTCTACATTTCAGTACCATCTCTAGTTAAATGCAAACATTAAAAAGTTCATTCAGTTAAACAACTACATCAAATGGGAGAGAAATACTGACACAATACACTATTTTTTATCAAGTGTTTCCTGTAGAGTGCCACATGTATGAAAAGCAACTATTTTCCAAGTTTGGAAAACATTAAATTTGTTTCTGTTTATCTTTTTTAACACATACAAGAAGTCTGCAGGGGGCAACTGTTTTTTACCCAAGAGTTTTGTTTTGTTAACTAAATTAATTAAACGGCCTACATTTACTAACTGGACACTAAAACTAGTCTTGTGACATCCTCCTCTAGGCACGCTAGAAAAAAATACCAGTCAGGAAGGAACATAGGAGTCCTCAAACTACTCTTGCTGGTGTAACTGTGGGCTCTCTATGCAAAAGAGGAGATACAGATAACAGAGAACCCTGAGATGGGTGCTCACCCTGCAGGCATCGAGACCCCAAACCGAGTCCCGAGGAGACAGACCTCACACGCCATCATGCTGCACCCTTTTCACCACCTCTGCTCCTCCAAAGCACGTGCAGAGACACAGCTTCGCACAAGCTTTCCCACTGCTCCTCTACACTGCGCATCTTCACAGGGATACGGGCGAGGAAATTCCGGTCCCCCGTAGGTTACCTCCTGCGCTGCCAGGCGCTCCCACGTGCGCCCAAGGGCGCAGGAACACAACAAAGCTCAGCCTCAGCCTCAGGGAACGTGTTCGCCTTACAAAGAGGAACCCCCAGAGAGGCTCAGTCCAGCCCTCCCCACTCTCTGCCGGGAGCCCTGGGCTCGCTGTGCTCACCCGGCCGGCCCAGCGCGGCACCACCGCGGGTTTAACCGAGCCCCGCCTGGCCTTCGTGCGGGAGTTTTCAAAGCCATGACCTCAAGTCACTCCTGAGAATAAACCCAGTTCAAAGCTTTATTCCCATTCACTTGCAGACAGCACCTCCAGACAGCGGTACGGGGTCAGCAAGAGGGCTGGTTTCAACAGCAGAGTATCTGTCTCTTTTTCTGTCGCTTTAGAAAACATACGTGCGTCTCCTACAGGTAAATATACGCACACACATATATACATATAGATGCACATATATATACATATACTTACATGCACACAGATAGATAGATAGATAGATATACGTACATATATAGTACTTAACAGACAAGCTAGCTTCCACCGTCCTCACGGCTCCCGGCAGGCCGCCAGCCCCACACCGCCCCGCTGCTGACCCCCAGAGCCCCCGAGCGGCCCGCCCTGCCCCTCCCCGCGGGGCTCCCCCCGACCCTCACCGTGCGCTGGTGGCCGGGCGCCGCCGCCATGTCGGCCGTGGCGGGGCCCGCGCTAGCCCATGTCCCTTTAAGGCACGGCACCCGCGCGGCGCCTCGCTTGACTGACACGGCGGTCCGCCAATGAGAATGGAGGAAGTGGGGGCAAGTCCCGCCCCGACACCAGCTCAGAATTGAGTGACGCGTCAGATGTCCAATAAAAAAAGAACAAGGGCGCCACTTAGCCAATGGAAGGGCAGAAGCTGAGGGAGGGCGGGGCTGCCACCGCACTCCGCCGGTGGGGCGGGGGGGCGGCGCGTGGGCCCGCGCGGAGGGGGGCGGGCGGAAGAGGCCGGCCTTTGTCGGGGGAGCCCCCGCGGCCCGGCCAATCAGAGCGCGGGGCCGCGTCCCCGCCCGGCGCGGCGCGGGGCGGCCGCGGCGCGATTGGCGGCGGCGAGCGCGGCGGGGGCGGCGATTGGGCGGTGGCGTTCGAAGGCAGGTTTGGCGCGGGGCGCCGATTGGCTGCGCGGGCGCAGCGCGAGCCCGGGCCCGGGGCGGGCGGAGGCAGGGAGGGAAGGGCGGGGGGCGCGCGCGGGTGACGCCGCCGCCGACACAAGGGGGGGACGCGGGCGGCGCGCGGGGCCCAGCGCGGCACCGGCACCGGCGGCGGGAGCGGGAGCGGGGCGGGGGCGGCGGCTCCTCCGCGGCGGCCCCTGCGGCCGCTCCGTCCCTCGCTCCGGCGGCACCTCCCCATTCCCCTCCCTCGGCCCGCCCGTGTCCGCCCCGCCGGATGGCGGCGGCGGGCGCGGCGGCCGCCCCGGCGCTTTATGCGTGCACCAAGTGCAACCAGCGGTACCCGTTCGAGGAGCTCTCCCAGGGCCAGCAGCTGTGCAAGGTACGGGGCGCGGCGGCCCGGCCGGGGCCGTTCGGGGCGGCGGGCGGGGGCGGTGCGGGGCCGGCCCGGCCGGGCAGTAACGCGGCGCTTTCCCCCGCAGGAGTGTCGCATCGCCCACCCCATCGTGAAGTGCACCTACTGCCGCTCCGAGTTCCAGCAGGAGAGGTACGGAGGGGTCGGGCGGTGTGCGAGCGCCTTCGCGGGAGCTGGGCCTGTTGGGAGCAGGGAAGACCGAGAGGGGATCTCGTCAGTGCACACCGATATCCGAGAGGCGGGTGCCAGCAGGGTGGTGCCAAGCACTTTTCAGAGGTGTCCGGCGACAGGACAGGGAGCAGTGGCCATAAACTAAACCACAAGAAGTTTCCTCTCAACACGAGGCAGAACTTCTTTACACTGAGGGTGGCACAGCACTGGCACAGGCTGCCCGGGGGCGTGATGGAGGCTCCCTCTCTGGGGACATTCGGAACCCACCAGGACACGTTTCTGTGTCACCTGCTCCAGGTGACCCAGCCTTGGCAGGGGTGTTGGACTGGGTGATCTCTGGAGGTCCCTTCCAACCCGAACTATTCTATGTTCGTATCCCTTCCAACCCAAACCATTATGTGGTTCTGTTTGCTGGTAATTGCGGGGGAAAGAATGTTAAGGTATGTGTGTTTGTTGCCAAATTCACCTTTGTGCTGTTTTATCTCTTTAGCAAAACCAACACAATATGCAAGAAATGTGCCCAGAACGTGAAGCAGTTTGGAACGGTAAGTAGGCTCTCGGTTCTAAGTGCTGAAGTTAATTCATTTGTGCTTTAAACTGAAAAAAAACCCCAAAAAAACAACCTTATGTTGCAACTAATCTTATTGTCTTTTGGGAAAAAAAATAAACCCAGAGATTGCCATTCAGAAATGTGATGGAAATGTCATTCTATCTCTTGATTTCCTATGTCGGTTACAGTTCCTTTTTTTCAATCTGAAATCCATTTGGGTTATATGTAGCTTAAAGATTAAGAATAATTTCAGTGTAGCTATTTGTAACAAAGCAAAGTTATTTCACCTCACACATGTGAAGTTATTCTCTGTGTGTTCTCATGAGCACACGCTTGATGGCAGGAAGACTGTTAGCCCTCTCTGTCCTTAATGGGTGGTAAATGTGAAAATCGAGCGATGCTGCATACTTTATATTACGTAAGTCTTAAAAAAAGACGTGTTAATCGTGTTAAGCTATTAAGTAGAAAAGATTTTGAGTATCATCTGCATTCACGTTATTTTGCGTTTGCTCATGTTGAATTTCAGCTCCAGTTCTGCTGGAAAAATGAATTTTTCTGTTATGTGAATACACACATTGTATCTGAGCCACCCTGCAGATATGAGTTTGTAGGAGGTATCAAGATAATCTTGTTGTGGAACAAAAGGGCATAACTTCTCCAGGCTTGACATAAACGATAATAGATGAAATTCAGCTTATTTGAGAAATGTAACAGCTGCCGGTATGTAGTCAGGCACTTTGTGAATGTATATGTAAACTGAACAAAGAAATGCTTTCAAAAGCTTAAAGTGTAGCAAAATGAATTGCAGGACAGATCCAACAATGATTTTATAAGTAGTTCATCAAAAAACATAATTGCATTGAGGATAATCAGCCATTTCTAACCTGTGAAAACTGACAGCAATTTCATTTTCCAGCACTGTAGTAATCTAGTTGAGCATATGATATTGAAGTTGATAACCTGACCTGGTGGTACCTGAAGTTGGTTTTTGGTTGTTGGTGGTGGTTTGTTGTTTGTTTTGTTTTTTAAGTTTCCTGCAGAATTGCGGGGATCAGGGTACTAATCTTGGAACTGTAGTGTTATTGAAGCCCTGAGTGTGCAAGGGAGAGGGATGCCTTCAGAAACTTCCAGTCTAAAAAAATGACTTGATTACTCTTATTTTAAAGTTTTTCTGTAAGTAATTTCTCTAGGATTGTAGTAAAACTGAGAGAAAATGTCATCATATTAAAAAAAATAAGAAAACAACGGGTGTAGAGGTGAGTAATCAGATAGTTATGTGTGTTTCTTTTATTGATTATGCATCTGAATTTTCATTGAAAAGTCCAGACTGGTTTTAACTACTAAAAAACGTCATTTTAGGGGAAAAGTTTAGTACTGAAGATAGAAATGGTAGGAAAAAAGTTCTTTAAGATAGGTTGTATGAAGCCTTAGTAGTTTCAAAGCATCGTTGTGTGATTTGAAATACTTTCAGAAAATGCAAATGTATTGATGTCATTTCAACTTATCTTTTTTTCAGCCTAAGCCTTGTCAGTATTGTAACATTATTGCAGCATTTATTGGCACAAAATGTCAGCGTTGCACCAACTCAGAGAAGAAGTATGGCCCACCTCAGACATGTGAGCAGTGCAAACAGCAGTGTGCTTTTGATCGAAAAGAGGAGGGAAGAAGGAAGGTAGGCTTTGTTCCACATCTTTAGTGGCTTAGACTGACAATACACAGTATTTCTCCTTCATAAGAGAAGGACTAGCAGGAATGTTTTTAAGTTCTCTAATATTAGGTTTAAGTTGCTGAGCTGTACTTTACAATATTTAAATTAAATTTTGTAACTTGGCAATTGTTATGTTAGGTACTGAGCTAATTTACTTTAAATCACTCTTTGTAAAAATAGGCTTAAGTGTAAGCAGGCAGTTGTAGCTGGAGAACAGAAAGTAAGTGGCTGAACATTTACTGGTGCTTTGATATTTATTTTATTTTTATTTTCTCAGCCATTGGATCTTACCTACGTCCGTAACTTGAATCTGTTACTTTACCTCTTCTGATTTGCTTGCCTTGCTTTAAAGTACAGCATCAGAGAGGTAGACTGCTCTGAGTAGCCCTTTGTGTTCTGTTTTGTTAAATAGCTTTGGTGAGTGCCACTTTCTCATTCCAGAGGGTGCTGAGGAAAAGAGCTCAAAAGCCTCTTGACTGAACCCAGGAATAATACTGTTTTTACAGAAGAATTTACTTGGTACCTGTAAAACATTGGCTGGACATCTTGATTCTACCTGCAGTATAATGGGTTGAGAGAGGGTGCATGGTGTCTCAACTGAAAAAGATTTGTCCTTTTAAAAAGTTATTGTCATTTCTGCGACATAGAGCGAGTCCAGCATTTGCTAGGACTCTTTGTATCATAACTTTAAATTACAAAAAGAACTGGGGTAAGATTCAGTAGAATCTTTACTAAAAGATAACTTGCATACCTTGGCGGTACAGTAGTGATGTTTCATACCAAAGAGATGTCTGTGTTTTTCCCAAAGATAACAGATGAAACAGTTTTTTCTTGCAAATCTTGAGGACATCTCTCTAGTGCAAGTGTACTTGGAAATAAACCCCGCTATGAATTATTTCACAAAAGGTTGACGGGAAGTTGTTGTGCTGGCTCTGCACGCTGTCCTACAAGAGAGTGCTGCAGAAGACAAAAGAACAGAGGAAGAGCCTAGGATCTTCACATTCTAACTCCTCATCCTCATCTCTTACTGAGAAAGACCAGCATCATTCAAAACACCACCACCATCACCACCATCATCATCGCCACAGCAGCAGTCATCATAAGTAAGTATTTCAGAAATTAAAGTAGCTGTTGGTAGCTCTTCATCTGTGTTCTGTTTGTACTGAGATAAGGTCAAAGTTAGTATAAAAAGCTGTTTGAAACATCAGAAGCAGTAGCAGAATGTTGTTCTTCCATGGTCTGTCAAAATCCTTGTATTCTTACAGTTTGTATGAAGGGAGTTTAGCAAAAAGCAGTTGATGTTCAAATTGGTAGCAAGTCTAGAAAAAAGCTCACGTAATAGCTACAGAAACAAGTTACTTAGTGGTAGACTGGATTTGGCTTTCTAAGCGGTAACTGCTGTGTGATAACTGCTATTTTACACACATTTACCCTGGGATAAAAGGTGTATTTGCAGTGAGTACAGTACAGCTGCTTCATTCAGAATCCCCACCCTGACTTACTTCACCCTGACTGGTTTGTGCACAAATGCTCGCAGGTAAATGGAGAAGCAGAGGCAATAGTGTGGGATTATCTTCAGTCTAGGACCAGTTTGTATCTCTTTGCTAGTTTTTATAATCAAATCTTGCTGGAATAGGCAGTTTGTGGGTGGCTGTGATACTGACATAGGGACATAGGACTGTCAGTTCGTTTAGTGTCACTCTAATAACATTTGACGTAGTTTTGTCCCGTCTTCTGCATCTTTTCTCAATATGTCATCTGTGGCCACGGCGTCAACAG